GTGTCGGTCGATGCCGAGTCCGTTAAGAGTCTGAACAGAGCAGCGGAAACAATAAGTGTCGTTCATGTTTGTACACAGTCTCTGGTCTGAGCTTGTTCACTCAGTATTTACCAGATTGGTCAGAGCGGTGTAGGCCTCAACAGCTTCTCTGAACAGTTGTAGTTTCGCTTCCCGCTGCAACACAAAAATAAAACACGATCACAAACCTCAGTCACGTTTCCCTCCTGTTAAATCACCTGACTGTCAGAACTGTTTGTCTCACCGACACAGTTGGATCGTCGAAGGCCAGAATGAACTTCAGCGTCTGGTTCGTTGGCGAGCGAATAAATTCCGTCCTTCCTCCTCGAAACATCCGCTGAGATGCGATGTCACAGGCCGGACACACCTCGTTGTGAACTCTTAAAAAATAAAAAAAGAGTGCAACATAAAAACTGCCTCTTTGTCAAGTCAACAACACACCTGACAAGGATCTACATCTTTCGATAATCTCTGACCTGTAGTAGGCGAGCTGCAGGGCCACCTGGATGAAGGAGTTCGGACTCAGGTTGTGCTTCTTGGGAAGCTCCTTACCGAACCTCTTGAAGTTGAACACGTTGACGTCGAGGTCGTTGATCAATCTGCAGGAAATTTGAAACATTTGAAACATTATCCTAAACTCACTGGCTCTCTCTAGAACGTCTGGACAAAGCTCAAGGTCGTGGTCGTGTGATAACAGAAGCTGATGGACTCCTCCATTAACCTCTAAAACCTTTAAAATATAAAACCACATTTGTACAACCTGACATCTTGTGAACTCGGTGGAACAAGTTCTTTATTTTACTCAAGGTCACGTTAACGCAGAGGAGATAAATGTGTTTACCCTCCTGTGGCTTTTCTTTCAGTTCACTTCAGCTTTGTCAGGTTTGAAGAGCAAACATCCAGCTCACCCTGAGCAGCGAGTTTTCTTTACGTTTAAACACTCGCTCCACCCTGAGCGGGGAGACGGAGAGCTTACATGTCGAGGTTCTGCTTGGCGTGCTCGATGTCCCTCTTGATTTCCCGGTCGATGTGAAAGTAAAGCTTCTTAGGCATCGGCAGAGGGACCAGCGGCGCTCTCTTCGGGTCTGGTTTCTCACTGCAGACAAGAAAAACACGTCCAAACCCAACCCAGCACAAAACATGAGGAAACAACAACCTGGCTCTGAATGAACCCGTCTGTCTCACCAGTACTGCAGGATGTGATCCAGCAGCGTCGCGATGGGCGGACCCTCAGCTGTGGCCTGTTCGTACAGCAGACCCCACGATCCGTCCTCGCCCACAACGAACTGTCCATACAAACAGACCGGAGTTACTCCGACTGCCAAACTTCTACGTAACCTGACATTTCCTCGTCAAACTGCTCACCTGCAGCGTTTTGTCGAACCAGCGGTTTCCACTGTTGGAGAACGTCCCGCCTCCGTGCAGGATCTGAGCTGCTTTGCGGCTGGCGTACCTGTCAGTCAAAGTTGGAACAAACGGGAACAAAATACAGATGGCACGATGATATCTGAACACACAGACACTATTCTCTCCACCCTCCACAATCTACACTCTGGTATTTCTGTGTTTGCTGTACGTTGTGTAATCCTGTGTGTCGGTGTGTGTGTACATACTTCTCATCTGATATCCTCATCACCGGAGAGTCCAGACACAAAGAGAAAAGTCCCGTCTCTATCATCCGCACTGACTCTTTGTTCAGTTTATCTGAGGCAAACACAGTCGAGAGAAACACACGTCTGACGTAACAGTTTCCCTTTTTTCATAACAGTGATCGATGAATCTGCTTTCTTTTTTTTCTGGTGAAGTATTGCAGAGAATCTGGGGACAAAATTCCCAGATTTGATGGGAGTGTATTCTGTCGTGGTGTCTACCTCTCAGCAGGCGGTTGTAGGCCTGTCCCCAGGTGTGGCGGTGCTCGCTGGTCAGGATGCCCATCGGCTCCTTGTCCGTCTTCCAGGACTGAGACCGAATCCTCAGCAGCTGGCTGTGGATCTGACTCTCGGTCAGTCGAGAGCCGTCACTGTTGTAAACCTCCAGCTGGAAGAACTAGGGACAGAAAGACATCAGGAGACAATCAACAACTCTGTGTTTCCAAAATACACACAAAGAAACCTGAAATGACCACGAGAAGAAAGTCTGGGACAGGTCACATAATCTTATGCATGAATCCGACGTGAGGACAAGAGAAGTTAATAAATCTCCAGCAGGATTATCTTAATTTAAAGGGACTGAGATCAGAATTTTTTCTCAAAATCTCCGATCCCACTGGACGACCTGCTGCCAAACCTCTGTCCAATCACAGAGCTCCTGGTGAGGCCATGTGACTGGTGCTTACAAGGTGTGACAGCACAAGACCCGACACGACTGCTGAGTCGTAGAACTTGAAACAGGCTGATAAATGATGCTGAGTCAGCAATAACAGAACAAAAGAGAGAAAGTGAATCTGGCTGCTGGCTCGTCCCACCTGGTAGTTCCTGACGACCGTGATGTGCGTGGGGAAGCGGCGCGAGCGGCCATAGTGGGCGATGTGGTCGTGTTTGGGACCAGGGATCCTGCAGGAGGAGAAGAGGAGCGGGTACAGCTCCATGCACAGAGGCTTCCCTCGCATGTACTCCACTGGCAGCTGGCCGCTGACAGAGAGAAGTTTAATAGTTATTACTCTGCACTGGGCGTGTGTAAAAAACCTTTGTGGGAATATTACTTAGGAGGATTTCTGCAAGAACCTTGATCTTAAAATATTGTGGGTTCTGTGACATTTATTTTTGGGATGGTAAAAAAAATGGCCCTAAAAATAACAACATTAGGACCTTTGAATTTGTTGAGGTTGAAAACGTTCCACATCACCGGGTGTATTTACCGCTCTCTGCCTTCGCAGGGCAGCAGACTGTTACAGACTGTTAAACACCATTTGATGATGATACTGACACTGAAATCTGTGTGCAGCTTAAATTTCACTCATCGGGTCAAAGAGTTTTCATGACAAGTTGTGTTCCAGCGGCGAGCAGCTGTAGACTCAGCAACGATACAGTTACTGACAGTGTGTGCAAATAAATTTAGACAGAGATAAACTCAATACAGCAGAGAAATACGAGGCCATGCCAGTCGGGGTGAAGTTGAAAGACTTAAATAGAAGCCAGGCGGGCGACAGAGATTTAACAAAATAAATATAGAGATATTATTTGATTTATTTATAAAACTTACGTTTTGAGTTTGGCCTTGAAGTCCAGAACTGCGGCTATAAGTTTGGATGCAAACCTACGGAGATAAACATGAGGTCAGTTTTCTATTATCTCATTCAGTAAAATGTGCAAAAGGTTTCAAATAAATCATTTAGAAATCATTAAGAAATAAGTAAACAGGATTAAAAAAAGGTTTTTATGTTTATTCAGGTGGAAATTTGCAAGAATTAACCAAAGAGCCAAATTTTAAACTCGACATAATGAAGTTTAAAGGTTGATTATTCTGCACACAGAGGGACAGATAGACGTGATGCAGCCTCTTTATGGGAACAGCTATAAACAAAATAAACAGGTGTTTGTATCATAGCAACACAGGCCGAGAACCTTGACTGCAAACACAGCAACGACCCTGTAACACAACACTTAAGTGAACTTGTTTTAATCTGCTCTCACTGTTCAAAACAAATATAACTGAAGTGGCTAATCAATTGATTTATTGGAAATATATGTATCTGACTATTAAGAAACTCTTAAATCATTGAAACAAAGCAGATTTTAAAATATTTAATGTACTAACAGAATGAGCTGCTTTCCAAATCAAGGTTTATACAATATACACAAAGAAAATGAACTATCCAGTCAAAATGTCTCGGTCTAGTATTCAGTTTTCTCAGTAGGAACATGGTCTCTCTGTGTTGAAACAATCTTTAAACAGATTTAAATTGTGTCTACTCTGCTGTGTCATTGTCAGTATTTGCTGACTCACACTAGCTGGCTCCTCCAGTCGTTATAATCTCTCCTGGGCAGAGAGATAGCCGGGTTTGAGTGCACGGGCAGAGGCTGTCTGCTCTCCAGGTACGCCCACTGCACCCACCAGTCTGAGATCTGCAGAGAGGACAGATATATCTTTTCCGAGGAAAATGTGTTTTCAGATTATCTGTCCTAATTTTCTTGCACCGTCACTTTGGGGGTTGGGGGCTGAAAGGGGGGGGTTATAGTAAATATCTAAATAATATCACAGCCTCCGACACACCACAGCAGCTGTATCAACATTTGAAAACACTCCCACATCCATCGCCAACACGTGTCCCGCTTCCCACACTGACGCAGGACAAAACAAACCCAGTTCTTGTGTCTCGCTCTCCTCTCCAGCCCCTCCTGCAGCTGAGCGCCCAGGCCACCCGGCCGGCCGAACTCCTGCACCATCCTGCGGGTGTGGCTCAGCTCCTCGGGGGGCAGCAGGGGCTCCAGGGCCCTCAGGTACCCCTGCAAGGTGTGGGCCAGCGGGGGCACCGGCTGGGGGGGCACGGAGGAGGAGTAACACAGCTCCTGCCTCAGTGAAACCTGGAATGAGGGGAAGAAGATTAAAGGCTGGACGATATGGCAAAAAACATTGAGATGAAAATGTACATATCATGCATTAGGGTGTAAACTGTATTTGTGCATTAGTATGTGGAGATAATAAAATAAGACAAATCCATATGCATAGATAGATAGAGAGATAGATAGAAATGGGTATAAATCACCCATAGTATGAAAACTTTAATTATTTGTAAAGTTTTATTTCCCAGTCCTGCAGAAGTTTACATGTTTTCTGCAGGTACACTCATGTTGCACAGTGAAAACCCATCTAAAGTGTACTGACAGAACAGTAAGTGTGTGTATCAGCACAGTGCATTGACAGAGTGTGGGCAAATGCCAGTGACAGGCAGGGCACTCCCAGGGCGGATCACGGGGAGGAAGTGCACGAACACGAATAGCTGCGTCCTCTGAGCTTCACGGGCCTGCAGCTGCGACACTAACACTGTTCGTGAGGAAGCGAAGTGTCAACAAGTCGAGCAGCTGAAAACAACTCACCCGGGACAGCCATGCTCTGCAGGATCCGGGCTGGATCCTCGTGAAAATCATGTTTGCTTAGATCACTCGTCCTGTGCACAGTTTCCTCCGGGTCTGATCGTCTAGGAGAAGCTCAGCCCTCCTCCTCATACTTCTCCTGATCCTCGGTGGCTCCGGATGAGAGTCCTCGGTGTTTTGTTTTGTTTTTTAGATCCTGGTTTGAAAAGACATGTGCAAGAAGCAGAGAAGGAGGAACTCCCCCTTGTTTCTTCCTCCAAGCTGCGAACATGCAGAGATTCACGTAGCGAGCGGAGCTGCAGTGAAGGAGGATACAAGCCTCCACACGTGTTGACGTAAAAATATTTCCGTAAACAGCTACGTGACTCCCAACTTTGCCTGCAGTACCGCGTGTGACCGCAGAGGGGCGCTGTTTCACCTCAGGATGATGCCGTGAACCCCCCCTTCTGACAAAGTCTGGTACATATACTTCAGGTACTTGTGAAATACTACTACTATTCTGTGAAGGTTGTAGTGGAAGAAAAAAACAGTAGAGGGAACAAAGGTTTAAAAAGCGGCTTCAGCAAAAATTGGCTTTTTAGGCAAATTTACTCAAATATTCACTCGTGCAAACCTTGAGAAATGCTGATGCCAAGATATAGAGAGAATGGTTCCTTGAGTTTTAAAAGCTACAGACAAAAAGCTGGAATGTGTTGAACTGAGAAGTGTTTGTATTTTAATGCAAAAACAACAGCACACAAAGAATTCTCATCACATTTCTGAATCTAAATAATCGTTATCATGGAAATAATGATTGGTCAATGACTGACCTTGTTTGATACAGTGAGGGACAGTGGATGATATTTTATCAAACTAAAGATTCACACATTACCGGGTCTAGAACTTTAAAAGTCAAGTTGACATTAGCCCAGAAAGCTCATTTATTCCTGTTACTTATAAAATACTTATAATTTACCAGTTTGAAGTCACTTAGCAGAGGAGGAACAGGCCTATAACTTATTATAATATTATATTATAAGAGTTTTGTCAGGTGTAATCTGCTCATTTTTAAATCAATATATCAATGTGTGTGATAACATGTTTGTGTATATCTGTTTTATATGATATCAACAAATGAAAGAAAACAGAAAAACCTTTTTCAGAATTATTTATTAGATTTTTTTTCTCTTGAAGCCAGCTTCTCTTATCCTTCATATGGGAACAATTCATCGTCAAAGACCGTGCACATACTTTATATAACACACATCTTCTTTTACCAATTAAATTATTCATTCACAAACAAGACATATTTGTACAGATTACACTAACAACATTATACAGCCAAAAGTCAGATCAGTTGTAATATGATGTCTATCCAGTTACAAAGACTTCCACTCACACAAGCCTCTCCACTTCCACAAAAATAACAAAACAAAACCTTTATTTAAATCCACACGCTTTAACCGTTTCTTGTTTATTGAACATTAAGGCTCAATTAAACCCCACGCGAGACAAAGACCCCACACATTGCACCGACACCCATCCCTGCAACGTTCCACGCGACCCCCCGCCGAGAGGAGGTTTTTCTGAAAGGCTTCAGACGTCTTCAGGAACTCATCTTTCATATCATCTGTACGAGCAAATCCAGCAGGCACATGAAAACAGATGATACGAGCGTCACCCTTCTGTGCGGAGGCAGTGCTGATTTCAATTTAGAACATAACCAACAGACAAGAAGCTATCGAATATATTAACTAAAAAATAAAATCTTATGAGTATTTCTGTATATTGCATAGACAAGCGACCCACCATCGCCCCTCAGTGCACACCTGAGGGACTTATTAAATATTACAAATAGGTTTTGTGATATTTTTGCAATATGTACCATTCTTATACATTCACATATACCCCCCCCCCCCGCATTTCCCTGAAAATAAACTAGGTCATATTTTACCCAGTAGACACAAATATGTATTTGTTTTTACATCTGGAAAAATCAACTTTACATTTCTCACTCAACAGTCTTTCATTTTGATGTCATAGCCAGTAACAATGGAAAAGAAACACCATTACAAAACAGCCAATTATTCAAATGAAACGACACATGATAAAAATCACATAAAAATGTCGGTGACCTCATCACAAGGGCAATTTTGGCGAAGATGACCGAGCGCAAGACTCATCTGGAAGACAGAGAGATGGAGATGGGGGGTGAATAAGGTGAATCTAGGATTTCATTTTTCAATTATGAATCTGATTGGATCCCATTCACCAACATTTAGGGTTTTGTGAGAACCATAAATGCAACATGAGACCGTTCCATTTGTTCTCCAAAAATCATTATTTTATTTCTATTTTTATTTGCTGCTTTTCTTTAATATGCATTTCCTCACTACGCTGAGCTTGCCCACACTGCTACATGAAGAAAAGTCTGAACACTGGTCAGCTCATCTGGTTAAAGGACAAGGCTGGTGTTATTCCAAATGTTTCTTTTTTACCAACAAACCCCATGATTTCAATGTTTCACCTTTTATTTAACCTTCTCTGACAGAGTATAGCAAATAGTTTGCACTTATTCAAAATAGGCTTTGTATTTTAAATAAGCACAGTACAGAAAAAATAAAAGGTTTGCAGCATTTTTCCATTAACATGCTACTTTCTGAATTCACAATCCTGTCTGCATCAGTCCCAAGTTAATTGAAAACTTTAAACAAGTCACAAATATATTGTTTAATAGTTTAACAAATCTCAGTATATGTTTTATTTTGACTGTTGTTGCCTGTCCCATGAGTAAATAGCACATTTATTAAGGACTTTACAGCCACAATTAGCAGTATCCTTGAGTTAGAACATAACAGACTGCTCAAATGAAAGAACATGTGGTTCGGCTTATTTATCTTTACTGGAGTCTTATGGCACAAAGGAATAAGCTATGTTAGCTTTTGGATACAGACGCAAATCTTGTTAGTTGGATGATTTCATTGTTGGTTTAGGGCTTTTCATGGGAGTTTGCAGAAAAATATAAAACACTGCCATCCTCATCCTTTAAGGAAAGTCTATGAGGACTTTCACAGCAGAGCACAGAAGACTGTAAGAAAGGTTGACGAGCAAAAATCGTTACACGCTATGTTTTTTGAGAAGAGGGTGACACTGACCCACTCTTAGACCCCGTCCTGTTGCAGTCCCAACATTCCTTGTACTTTTGGTCACGATCGCTTCTCCGTCCACGTCGGCTTCCTTCTCCTGTGCCTCGTCTCCCTGCAGCTTCTCCGTCCTCCCCAGGTCGTAAGGATGCGGGACACACGCCATCAAGGAGGTCTCTGACGGGTACTCACAGACCTGCTCCAGCCGATCCTCGTTGAAACACACATTCCCCTGGAAAAAACGAGGAGGGGAAATGATCAATGGCCTGCGCTTTGACATGTGGACTGGAGGAGCGTGGACTCAAACCACCCACCGAGCTGAGAGTTTGTCTTTAGCTGCAGTCAACTACGTTCTTTTCATTTGTTTATATCATTGTGAACAAATCTGCTGCCACGTGTGAATCACTTTGGCTTAATTCTTATAGTGACATGGATGGAAAACCAACCAAAAGATCTTAAAATCAAGATCGAAGAATAAAAATAAGAATTTACAGGCGAGCGTGTCTGTTTCTAAAATGTGTGTACTGTGCAGTCATTGTAGAGTTATTTACTTTAGAAATCAAAACCAAACATTGCGTGCAAGTAGCAAAGTAAATTAGAAAAACTCAAAGTCAAAATGATAAAATTGCTATACCGACACATTTTTCCACCATCCATGCTTACATGGGGAATTGTAAACAGTCTGGAGGCCCTGAGGAGTGCTTACGCTGTCAGTGTAATGTTAACTGACAGCAGGAGGCTTAACACAGCAGAAATACTCCCCCTGTGAGAGTGTTTACTGACGGAACACTTCATGCACTGAGTTATTAATCACTCAGGGAAATAATATCATATGGAGAGAGTATGTGACACGTGTTCAGTTGCAGAAGCAGAAACACAAGGTCTGCTTGCGGCTTCTCCTAAAGTGTTGAAAAGGAAAACGACTGGTTCGGCTCGTCTTTGCCTGCACTGGCAGATGCTTACGTGGAGTTTGTTTACTCAAAGGTCAACATGGAGCAAACTGACAAACAGGAAACAGCAGCTCAGCTCTGAGGCCTCGACTTGTGAAAACCCCCGGATGTACAGACACGGTCTGGAGCCTGAAACCCGCAGACACCAGACTGCACACGCTCTACAAGTTACTTCACCCTGTAGCCGTCTGCAGAGTAGTGCAGATAATAGCTCTGCATTAGAGAGGCTAGGCAAATCATGCTCAGGCACAGGAGGCTAATCCTCCCTCCCTGAACCTGATTAACCCAGGCAGCACAGCAGGACAGCAGAGGCGACCAGCGAGGCGCAGAAACTGAAACAGTAGAAGAGACGGAAAGAGGGAAGTTTGAAGCTGTATTCTAGAGCTGCATTAAAGTTTCTCTCTGAGTTCAGAGTAGTTTGTCACCTATCAAAATGTAAGAATCTATAACAGAAGAAGACACACTATCATTCCTTTCAACGTGCACATGTGAATATTTAGAAAAAACTAATCTATAGATGGATTTGGACAGAAAATGCAGGATAATTTCAGGATTTGATGCCTGGATGTCCGAGATAAAAAGCACCATATGAAGGGAAACTTAAGAGAAAAAGAGGATGACAAGGGCGGGGAGGAAGCAGGTGAACTCTCCCCCTCACCTCCCATGATGCCGTGGTTCGGTGGGGGGAGGAAAGGCCACCTGACGTCAAACAGTCTGAAGGGCACCGATGTGAGAGTGACAGGTGGTCAGGGAATCACCGAGTGGTCAAAGAGGAATTACCTGACTGTGTTCCTGAAACTAAAAAACAAACTGACTAAAATAAATGTTTAGTTATTTCATCGGGAGTCACTGCAGATAACCTACAACTGAAGAAGTTAATTTACACTGAATCCTTCTCACCACTAGTTTCTCTTTCTCTCTTGTAGTCAAGTCTTTTTAACCCTGATAAGAAGGCACAGATTTAAAAAAAAAAAGGAGACCACGTCACTTCCCTATGTTGATCTTTGTCTCTTGTTAGGAGGAAATGCAGAAGTTTTAAAGAGGAAGTGAGCAGAAACATGCATTGAACAGTGGGTTTCTGTTCAAACAAGCCTTTAATCGCCTTTAATCCTCTCAGTATGTCAGACCGTCAAACTGTCATTTTTCTCTGCCCTGCCTCTCCTGGCAGGTCAGACCTCCATCCTGCTTTTTCCTCACGTCTCTCTGCAGCACCGTTCTGTCTTCATTCTCTTTTCACTTCACCCGCGTCAAACTGAGTTGGCGGCCCGCTGTCAGAAACACTCAGCCGTGCAGGGAAAGGTCAGCGTGGTCAAAAAGTGTCTGCCAAGACTCCAGTCTAACAAACCGAGCCCCTGCTGAACAGCCAGGAAGATACAAAGACAGATTTGTCTGAGGGGCAGGGAGGGCTGACTCTGCAGAAAATGGCAGAATTGGGGTGAGGGAACGAGGAAGCAGCCTGAAACGCACTCACATGCAGACTGAGGGGAAAGTTTGACAACTCCCACTGTAGGAAAATGGTACGAAAAAAACAATGCAATTCTTCTAACAGGCGGTCGGGTGCAGTAAAAATAGTCAAGATAACTCCCACTCTTCCAAACACAAAGTTTGAAAGAATCACTTGCAGTTTCAGCTGCAGGGTCTCAGAGGGAATTTGTGTAAATCCAAGTGAGGTTAGGTACATAATGCAAAAAGAAGAGATGGAGGAAGGAGCCGGCTGTCTCTTTCATTGTGGTTTCCTACTCAACTTTTCTGTCTTTGTCTTTGTTTCTGTCTGCAACGTTACTGTGAACTGTCTTTTAAAGACGAAACTGTTTGTTTCATTAGGCCACAAAACAAATAGCTTCACTTACTGCGGACTAAATCTGTTGATGCCACTGATTGGACACGTTGGGGTGAACATGCGTACTGCGGCGAAGCAGTATCAGAGGGTAGAAGTCAAAAGTCTGCAAAGCATTAGACTGCACAACCGAGTGGAAAAGCAGATCACAGCGGGATTTTATGGCTAAGAATCAAGATGTCGTGCTTGATAAGGCTTTAACCGGCTTAGGTCGGTCTCTGTGATCGCACTTCTCAATCAAAAGGGATGTTCTCCCAGTGAAAGGGGATTCCGCTTGACGACCAGGGGCCGTCAGACAGGTGACACAAGGTGATACCGTCTGGACCACCTACGATAAATTGTAGTAGGGGAGCGACCCTTTGTTAGAAAATTCTTCCATGGTAGAATTATTGGAGGAGCACCATTTGTTCTCTGCTTTTTGGTGACAGTGTTTGCATCACCAATAGGTCAAAGGTCAAAAAGAAAATGTGCAGTTTCTACTCACCCTTTTCGGGGTCCCTCTGTTTTTAACCAGACAGGACTTCTCCAGATTTAGATATCCACCGATCACCACGATCTGCTCCGCTGTCGGGTATTTCTTCCTTATCGGCTCAGCCGCAGCGGGGGTTGTCTGGGCCTTCTGCGATGGAGTCTTTGCAGGACTTGACCCAGCCGACGTTGATCCCGTTGAGGGTGCGGAGGCCGTCCCTTCGCCTCCTCCTCCAGCACCGACAGGCCTCTTTGGTTTGATTGTAATGGTGGCGCCTCTCTTCACTTGGACCCCAGAGGCACTCCTGATGGAGAAGAGCGTGGGCGACGGGGTGGGTGATGGAGACACACTGGGAGACTGGGAGGGAGACGGGGAGCACGGGGAGGAGGCTGGTGTTGGGGCGCTATCAGAGGGTTTCAGAGAAGTGTCTGGGGATTGGCTCCGGAGAAATGAGGGGTTAACAGTGATGGTTTGTTTGAGCTGAGCTGTCGGAGAACAAACGCGTAGAGACTGATCCTTCTCTTCGTCCTTCACCTGCTGCTTCAACACTGCTCTGGGGCTTTGCTGCCTTTGTGTCTCTTTGTCCCTCAGAAGACTGTTTGTTGAATTCAGGGCTTCCTGCTCCTTCAGCTGAAACTGCTCTATCTGCCGCTGTATCGTCTGAACCCCAGAGACATCTCCACCCGGTAATGTTCTTCCGTCGCCCTGTTGTGAGTTTGATATGCGGGGCGTCACTTTTATAAGATGCACCGATGGACCAGTCCTATCCCTCAGACACAAACCCGATCTTGAGCCGACAGTTTCCAAGTTGTAGATCCGGCTCATGGCTGCGAGGGAGTTGGGATGAGGGGGCGAAGGGGAGAGAGCTTGTGTGGGATCGAGGGGAGTTGTATATTCCTCTACCTCCTCCTCTGACAGCTTTTCCTCCTCCTCTCTCTCCTCTTCTCTGCTCTCTTGTCGGCCCCCGTGGCACCTCAGCTGCTCCTCTTCATGTTTCGGGGTCTCGTCTTCATCCTCAGATATCCGAGAGCCGTCGGAGAGAACTTCGGCGGCAGCAGCGTCGCACTCACTTGACACTTCCTCTCCTCCAGCAGCTTGTGAGTGTGGTACAGAAACAGGAAGCTGAGGGCAGGTTTTCAACACTTCCTGCGTGACGTCAAATGCAGCCGTGGATGCCTGCGCTGCTGCGTCTTCCTGTGCCGTATCTGCGTCGACCAGCTTCTTCCGTATATGAGCTGCAGCTTCCCATTCTTGCTCTATTTCAGTTCCCCTCTCATCATACATGTCCCCAGCTGGGGGAGTATCACTGTCCTCTGCAGCCGCGCTCCCCTCTCCATCCCGCATCTGTCTCAGCCTCTCCAGCTCCTTTTGTCTGATTTTCTCTCGCAGGGACTCAATGCGGCTCAGGGGCTTCCCGATCCTCCAGCTGTCCCTCCTCTCGACCCCTTGTCCTCCTTCCCAGTCTCGCCCCTCGTCGCTTTGACCCGCCACCTTCTTTACCTCCACTTCTTCTTCGGCGACATAAAACACAGTCCTGGGGATTTGAATCTCGAGGGGACCTGGAGGCGCGACCCTTTTTGGAGATCTGGGTGTTGCATCCTGGACGAGGCTCTCTGATGCAACATCGCTGTAATGCTGTCCATCCTTCCTGCACTCTTTGGTCAGTTCGTGAACCGCTCTGGAAGGCCTTTCTCCTTTCTCGTTGCCATAAACAGTTGTGTCCCCTATTTTTTCTATTTTACTGATGAGCTCCTCTGTGTGCTGAGACAAAACGGAGTGTGCTAGGTAGGGTCCTCGTGGTCCCGTCCACTCTGCCCCTCGGTGGGGGTCTCTGGCCATGTCTGTGACTGTACACAGCAGACTGGAGCACTCTGTAAATGCTGATTCATGTCTGTAGTGACTCTCCGCACTGAGGCATGGACTCGTCGTGTCTGCTGATGCGGCCATGACGTAACTATGCATGGTTTCAGCTGGGATTGCACTTTCAATTCCATCTCCTCGTAGAAAATCCTTTTTGTCGCTAACCTGTGCCTCATCTCTTTCTTCGGGGTCTTTCTCTACACTCAGCTCTCGTTCTAAACTTTTCTCACCTGCCAGTCGCTTCGCTTCTTTTTCAGCTCTCGCTTTCCCATCCTGCCGGATTGGGACTCTTCTAGCGAATGAGATGCCCTCAGTGTTTTTGACGGATGCAACCGTGAATCCCTCATCTCCATCTCCATTACCTGACCTCTCTGCCGCCCACTTATCAATAGGCTCGACTCTCTTAACTTCACTCCTGTGTTGGATTGAAATGTCGGCGTCATTCCTCCTCAGCATGGATCCTGCTTTTATATCTGTTTTCACACACCCATCCTTGTGCTTTCCCAACCTGTCTTTATCTAACAGATGTGCGCACCCCATTTTGATCTTTGCCGTGGCGTCCCTCCCTAAACCTGCTACATCTACCCATGGTGCCACGATCTTGTCTGAGTGTGTCCTCTCATGCCTTTTCCACTCGTAACACCTTTCGTTATCTAAACCGTTCTCCTTCGCACAGATGACTCGATCAGAGAAGCTAAATGAGCGCTTTGGGATGCCTTTCAACAGCATATTCCTCCCGTCCACCTTCCTCTCCGCAGATCGTTGGTCATCCTCATCTGAGTATTTTCTCCTCCCAGGCCGGAGGAAGTTATCAGAGCTTTTGGATCGAGATGGCGGTTTAGGGAGCTGACCGAATTTGCTCAGCAGCTGGCTGACCCTCCCTCCTCTCTCAACAAACACATTATCCTCCAGGCTTTCCTTCCTGTCTTTAATAACTAACGCCTGGCCCCAGGGTCTTTCTTTCTCCTTCCCAGGCTCTTTCTCTTTTTCTCTCATCCAGGATATGTCTGTCCTGAGCTCCCTACTCTCCCTTCTTGCATCCATGCCGCACTTCATCTCTCCATCCTCTTTCTCTTTTCCTCCTGTACTCCTCTCCTCTGGGGTTGTCGAGGGCTTTATGATCAGAACCTCAGAGGCTCGGATCTCGGTGACGCTCCCTCCTCCGGCAAGGATCTCCCTCAGGTTCATCTTCATCCCTCTGTTCCCCTGGTGGTCTTCCTCTGGCCTCTCCCTCTCCGCCTCCCTCCATTTCCCCCTCCTCTCGTCACTACCCTTCCTGTCCTGTTCGATGATGATGATGTTGTCGGCTCGGATGGTTCGCAGACAAGGGACGAGGGGAGAAAATGATCCAGGCGGTGAATCTGTTTCTTTCTCCTCCTCGTCTTTTCTTACTTTGAGGAATTCTCTCTCCCTCGTTACATCTTTAACTGACTCTTTCCATTGGTTTTTATCTTTTTCCCATCTCTCCCTGCTATTATCTCTTTCTCTTCCCTGACTCCTGTCCCTGCTTCTCTCTTTTTCTCGTCCCTCACTTAAATCTCTGAACCTCTCGATTTTCAGCTCTATGTCTCGTCCTCTTCCTGAGTCTCCATCTTGACCCCTGGGGCTGGATTTGTCTTTCTCCCTCTCGGACTCGTTTCCTACATCTGCATCCTTGCCCTTCCTCCATGCAGTCTGCGTGCGGATAAATGGGTTTTCATGGAGCGGCACTATAGTTTCCACAGACACCTGACTCACTGATCTGGGATCTGCATCCAACCATAGCCCCGGATCTGGACTGAGCGACGGTTCACTTCCCAGATTCACCGTTACAGAGCTGTCTGTGTCTGTGTCAGAGGGACATCTGAAATCCACCTGCAGGAAACACATGTCTCTGTCCTTCTCCCTGTCACCAACACTATCCTGCTTTGCCTTCCTCCGCTGGATGATCCCTCGCTTCCAGGCAGGCATGCTGGCAAGCTTCTCCTCCTCTTCTTTTTCTCTCCTTTCCCGCTCCTCCTCCTCTCGCCTCTTTTTCTCCAGCAGGAGTTGCTTCCATTCCGGCAGAGAGGAGACAGACATAACAGAAGATGTGCAGGTTTCTGGGCAAAATAGTCGACACTGGTCCTCGAATGGTCTGGATAAATTGGAAATGATAAAGTAAAATAACATTCATTTTAAATAAAAGTGTGCATTAACCACAATAAAACTTTTGGTATATGGAAATGGAAACTTTAAGTATGACATCAAGTAATTGGTATAATTAGCAATGTTTAATAGCATATTGGAAGAGACACATCAATGCACCATCACAAGGTGTTGATACTTCAACAGTCCAACTTTATCTGTTGTCCATTGGGTCTAACTCTCATCTTTTGCACAAGATAATATCACCAACTTCTTCAAATTATCTTGCTGCACATGATGCACATACTCTATTAATAAAAAAACATTCAACGAAACTCACCTAAACCCCAAGTTTTTGCCTGGATGTCACTGCAACCGCTTCGTCTTTACGGTTGTCATCTCCACTCGTGCGTCCTGGCTGTGCGTAATGCGCGCTCCGGTGCTCGATGGAAAATAGTCCTTCTCCAATAACTCTGCGTCTAATCGAAGCTGTCAAAACAAGAGGGTTTAAAAACCTGAGGGCGGTCAAATCACCCCGTGACCCGACTGCGCATCGGAGCATGAAAACACCTCCGTCGTCGGTATAGTAGTAAATATTTGCAGCGTCGGAGCAGCAGCGCAGTAATCCGATAATTACATTAAATTCCGTCAGGAGTGTTTAGTGCCACACACCATATTGTCGGACCTAAGAAGAGGCGTTTAGAGAGCACAGCCGGCTGCCCGGGCACCAACCCCCCACTCTCCTCCTGTCCTCCCCCGTCTCATCCCTCCGTCCTGCGGGGGCTAATTGGAAAAGAGGAGGTGGAGGGAGATGGAGGGAGGTGGAGGGAGGTGTGGCTGTGAGCAGGAGTTTACCTGGAGCTGACCAGACACGAGCAACGCTCATGTTACTGTCTCACTGACTTCAGTCCTGATTGTTTGATTCCTGTCCAGATCTCTTGTATGACACCACGCCGGGGAAAAAGTCTGGTTACAAGTTGAGTTTGCAAAATCGTTCTTAAGTTCATGTGAGCAACATGTTAAAATGGAAGAAATCAAAAATACTCACTTATATTATTAAATATGATGTAATTTGATGATTATTATTACACATCCACAACGTCTTGGTGTTTAATGTTGCAGCAGGTCAGGAATATTCACAAATAACAATTTCAGTACTATTCTTTATCTGTCTCGTGTCTTTTGAACACGTTCTGCTGCTGCATTTCAAGAGTTTCTCATGATTTGTTCGACTGTTTCTCTCAATGACGGTCGACTCAAAAACAAACAGCAGCAGAACAAACTACGTCCTCTGAAATGAAAGTAGAGTTTAAAGCAGAACTGCACATTAAAGACTCCCAGTGGTTGGATCTATATTGTATCTTAATTTGAGCTCGCTGTATTAAACTGCCAACCCAAAGAACAGCAATGTTCAAAGTTTTCCGTTTGTATTATTTCTGTTGTGTTAAAAGAGGGTATATACATTATACCACTTATTACATTTATTCAACATAGTCTTGAAAACAATGAAAGTTAACACATGAAAACAAAGATGTTACTTCACGCAACATGAACTGGGAAACAAAAGAAATACATGAAAACACATGTAGTTCAATTTCCAGTGGCTTTTAACTATTGTGACGTTCCCACAAAATACAGCAAAATACATTCGCAATCTCAGAAATGTGGTTTCCATTATAGCTATAGGTTCGTTATCCAGTGTGAAATCTCAATTTTACATTCTCTTCCGAGGACAATTCAATTCAAAATCAGTGTACTGAAAAATACATTCAAATAAAATGGCACATGGTATTTAACAGCATATAAAACTATACTCTGACAATGACATTCAGTGTTGTAAAATAAAAAAGGTTTCATCGCAAAAAATATTTCAGCTTCAACTGTAAACTTATTATGCATCTTGGTGAAAATTTAAAAATAAATATTTAATGCTATATTTAGTTTTAATGTTAAGGCAAATGTACAAATATTATTTCTACTAATTACCACTACAATCTAATCTCAGTATCAGCCCCAAACAACTGGTATTAGTGGAGCCAGATGATACATGACATAAAATATCCACTTTAATTTAATGTGAAGATAAAATGATTGATAAAAATATAACCACTAGATGAAATTGGCTCAGAAATGTAAAAGCAATAGTGGCCAACCTAAGAACTGATCACCATCATTATTAGTAGAGGAGGTGTTTGTTATAAAACGTTCCCTGTCTGAAACCATTAAAAAGAAAATGTTGAAAAAATACAGTAAAGTAAGGTAAAGTTTTGTTTTTCTTACTCAGCACAGCAGATTTCAAGCTTACAGAGGATCACAGTCTCTGCTGAAGTCAGTTTTATACAAATACTTCTGGTTAGTATTCAGCAGTCAGCGTCACATGTCAGCAGTTACACCTTTGTGTCACTTCTCCTTGTAGTAGTCGTCGGTGGTGTCTGTGGTGTCGGTGCCTTCGGTGGTGCCGCGCTGTGGCTTGGCAAGGAGCTGCATCTTGCTCCTAATCTGGACGCAGAGGTACGCTAAATCCTGTTTGTCCAGAGAGTGTGCCAGGGCCAGGTAGGTCGACAGAGTCCCCGCCAGCAGGAGCCGGTCCAGGGACAAGGCCGGCAGGAACCACAGCACGACACCCAGCTCCAGGCACACCGGGTGGCGGAGGTGAGACAGGAAGCGTTGGGCACCGGTGGACTTGTAGGAGAGAGGGTCTCCCAAACCGAGACACTCATAGTACACCTGAGAGAGGAGAGGGAGGAGAGGGAGGAGAGGGAGGAGAGGGAGGGAGGAGAGGGTGAGACAGTGGAACCTAAAATTAGGTTGAGCAACAGCACCAGGAGTAAATCTCTGTTTACATTTGAGAGGTTTACTTTGCCACAGATTACACAGTTACACTTAATTACATCTTTTTATAAATATCTCATGTTGCTGTTTTTAATTTAAATGAGCTCATTAATCCTTTTGGTGGAATGATGTGGATTTTTGAGTTCGCTGCTGAATTAATTGAAATGTGTGGGTTAGACAAAAACGAAAAACCTCCCTGTTACCAGAGATGAGTTGTTTATTTTCACAAAGGTTTGGTGTCGTTAACATGCACGCCATATACTGCATGAACAAAGGTGGTAGTTTGAGTCCCTGGGTACCTGCTTGATGCCCAACAGCTCTGGGTAATCGAAGATCATGAGGATGCTGCAGATGATCGCCCAGCACAGGAAGTGCAGAGTGAAGCAGAGCAGGGGGAACCAGATGCTCCAGGGTGCATGACGCACCGACCACAGACAGGGGGCGCCAGTCACTGGCTGCCAGTACCTCATCAGGATCTAACACAGGAGGAAACAAATATAATGACTGAAGCTTATGTGGAGCTATTGTTATTGTTATATATGATATAAATACAACAGCATTGCTGAGAGTGTGTGTTGCTGTACCTGGAGGGCCAGTGCCGTGGTGAAGCAGTATGCCGTCCTGTTCAGGGCCCCCAGCACCGACTGGAGAGCCTGTTTGACGGGCGTCCAGGCCAGCAGACTGTGCTGGGTGGTGAAGAGAGCCAGCAGCCCCACGTCCACGACAAGAGACCAGAGGACAGAGCTGTCCTGCAGCGCCACCGTCCATGGTATGGAGTCTGAGGTTCAGGCAAAGGACGTGAACAGGAATTATGTTTATATTCAACATTCATTACACTACAACTTAATAAGTTAGTTTAAATAATCAGACATTTACTGTACATGTATACACACTGTACTTCAACATACATACAGTAAAAACTGGTTATAATACATTACTTTGACGGTTTGATAGTGTACTTATAACACTGTAGAGTTGTGTACAGTCCATTCACTGCCTGATAACACATGGAGCCGCTGAGAACACACCCGCACTCAGGCATCAAACGTGCGGCACAATTTACACAATCCTCTAAATACATTTACATCAAAGAGCATTTCCTCTGCTGCACAAACAAACATTTGCTCCAAACAGGAAATTAAACATAAAGTCGAATTAAATCGAACCAAACTTTTTAAAAAATGTTTGCGTATCCATTCAGGGGGGGTTGAATTCTGGGAAATCGAATTTTACTGTGATTATCGGTGCGAAACCAAAACTTCTGTGGCCTTGAGGTGAATCGAGACAAATCACTGAAGTTAACTAATCTGGAAAATAAAAAGATTGTGCGCCCAACGTGGGGCTCGAACCCACGACCCTGAGATTAAGAGTCTCATGCTCTACCGACTGAGCTAGCCGGGCTGTGCTGCCATAGATAGGTAGTGTTATTATCAACACCGGGGAAGTTGTGTTTCTATAAATGTTCTTTTCATGGAGCTTTAACTTTGTAAACAACAACAACAACAACAGCAGCAGCAGCTGGAGCCGCGGAGGCCTCGTCTCCTCCTCCAGCTGAGTGTTACCTTGACACAGGCTCGTCTCTCCGGTGATGTTGTGGTAAATCGCTCTGAACGACACGAAGCGGATAAAGTCTGCGGCGGAAACGAAGACGAAGGCGAAGTTCAGCAGCGACACCGCGCCGAGGAAGCAGCCACGTCCCGTGAGAGACGCCATGTCAACCCAGGAGTCTTCATGTCCAACACCTCACACGGTGTCTTCCGGGAGCTGGAGGGCAGCACCGCTCACCGACACACGGTGGCGCTGCAGGCAGCAGTGGAGGGGGGGGGGGGGGTCAAACTTGTTCCAGAGGCAGCTGAGAGCTGATGGGGTCTTTGTTTCCCTGCAGGTGAGGCCTTTGCAGTTTCCCTCTGAAGTGAACTTGATCTACTTCCTGATTTAAAACAAATGAATCTGTATCGTTTGAATCCAGGGAAGTGAAATGCATCCCAGTGAAATACTGTTCTATGTAAAATACAAGGTTCCCCTTCTTCAGCGATGAGTTTTAAATCCTCAGTAGTGACAGCGGGCTGCCGGACTGGTCACTCAACATTTATGTTAGTTCACATGTAGAAACTTTTCTTTAACGTTGAATCAACCAACAAATAAACTTTTCATGTTGAATTAACAACATTTGTGTTTGTTAACACACAGAATTACAATATACAGTTGTGAGAAAAGTCTGAATGATACAATAAAGAGTCCAGAGATCCACAAACAGACAAGACAATAATAAATATAATAAATAAATCATTCGTTTTCTCAGACTTTGAGCAGAGTGAACCCTCCTTAAGATACAAAACTAAAAACACAAACTTTTCCTCCACCAGTCAAACTTCTTGTCTAGAAGTAAAGTGACTGTTGTGCGGCCATCCCTCCACAGGGAGGCGCTATGACAACTTCTACTCCGTGTTTAAAGGCGGAAAGGGCGGGATCATTCCAACGCAAGCTCCGCCCACTGCCCAATCAGTTCCTCTGAAGCATGACCTCATTGGTCTCTGTCATTGTTTTGCATGTGTTTTGTGTATTTCGTGTCTGTTTGTGGTCACTACTCGTCACCTTTGTGTCTCTTGCTTGTGGTTTTGTGCGTCTCTTTGGACACTTTCATCGTTGTGCACATCTCTTTGTGTATTTTCTGTCTCTCCGTGTTCGTTTCACCTGGTTTTTGATCGTTGTGTCTCTTTGTGTTCACTTTGTCTCTCGTTTGGATCATTTTACATCACTTTGTGTCTCTGACGTGAGGTTTATGAAAGTATTAAAATCACTTCCCACAGAGGCCCCGGCCCTGGAGCCCCCTGGACACTTTCACTTGGGCCTTTACCAGTGTCCATCATACAGAAAGACATTCAGGGGTATTTATTGGGGTCTATTAAATCCTTGTCTGACATGGCCTCGTCCGTGGGAAACAACAAAAATCTTTAATGGAAATAATCAAAACAACATCAACATCGGTGATCATTTGTACAAGAATCTCTGTTTTCATGGAGTTGAACTCTCAACAAAAGTCCATTTATTAAACCAGACGTTGAAGTCTTCATCACAATCAAACATAAAGTTTCTCTAGTTTGAAACTCAATCGGACATTTATCATTTTCCACGATGTCCTCACAGATACAGAGAAATAAATGGTACGGGAGCTGTGGGTCTTTTTTCTGGGGATTTTATTTCAGACCAAAAATGGTTTAACCACTAACTGACTGATAAATAAACTATTTACATGTATAAACAAAGAGCAGCAGGGAGATGTGTGTCAGCCTGAGTCTGTCCTCACATGAGGTTCACGTCACCACTGTAACACTCCACATGGTAACTTCTGTTTAATGCCACCACTCGGATAGACTCTGTAGACCCCTGAAATATAAAACAACACATGGAGTGAAACTGTTTCTAATAATTGTCTTTGTTATAGTCTTTCTTTTTCTCTTGCATTAATCAGACACATGCACAAATGCATGAATTGAAATGTAGCTGCAGCTCACCTCAGTCGGCAGTATCGGTGTTCTGCAGGCGGCACAGCAGGGGGCCCGGACCCTGAAACCACGAAGGAGTCTCAATATTAAGTAACAGAAACTGAGAAGTGAAGCAAAACGTGGGTGTGACTCATCTCGTCTGACAGGCTTTTGAATTAAATCTCTTCTCCGGAGCGTGAATCAAAGGGTTTGGCCCTTTGTGTTGAGTCAGTGTAAGAAGGTCACCTGTGGTAGTCGCTGACACAGTAAACCCGGCTGTCTGCGTCCACAGAGAAGGGCTGACCCTCCAGGCCCTGGCTGCAGACGACGCAGCGGAAGCAGGACGGATGGTAGGACTTCCCACGAGCCTGCAGGACCTGACGGTGCAAGATGAGCTCTTCTTTTACACACTGTCACATGCACTCACACATACTGTACTAAATCAAACCAATCATCACTTACCACATTATCCATGATCAAATACCCACAGCTGTTACACATCTCTGCGGTTGGATGAACTCCTGAGTACTACAGTAGATAATATTTGAAGATGGTTGGAGTTTTTCTAAACGTGGATTCAAATTGTCACTTTATAAGCGACTTCACAGCCACGATCAAACAACACACACTCACCAAAAAGTCATTTTCGCAGTAGATTCCTCCCGACACTGTGTAGAACGGTTGACCACTCAGCTTCTTACCTGAACATGGAGCAGAGCACAGGCAAATCTCTCATTTCCCATAATGTGACATTTGATAACATCCTCATAATTCACTTTAATCACTACAATAACAAAAATATATAGAGACATTCAAATTTATTTTTCAGTCAATAAATACATAAGTTGTTTGTATTTTTAGCTGAGAATCCTCAAAGTTATAGAGTAAGAAGAAACACTGAGAGGACTCACTGCAAACGCTGCAGGTGAAACATGCGTCGTGGAATAAATGTCCCATCGCCCGGCAGGCTCTCCCCGCTCCGTACACTGCTTCACTGCATTTTGTACAACTTCCTGTACACAAAACACAAGAAGAAGAAAGAATAGAAAACACACAACAGCGTGGTTACTGTGAATCATCTGTCTTCAACCTACAGAGGGTTGAAAAGATGAAATACGTTCAGTTTATTTCTTCCTTACCAAAGTAAAGACTGGTTCTGTGACTCGGGTCCATCTCCTGCAGTGTTTGTCTCAGCTGTCCTGCTGGAAGCTGCAGTGCGACTGTGTGGGGGTCTAATTTTGTGTGACAGCTGTAAGGGGAGCTCCTATCTCAGTTTATGGGTGATCGGTGCTTTTGGTCTCAAGTGGGGCAAGGAGTCTTCAGACGCTCTGACTCCTCTGAGGCCGAGCAGGCGGTATTGGTTCACACGTGGAACCTCCATCGACGTTATGAAATCTCCATCCTGAAACTTCTCCAGGCCATAAATGATATTTTACCTTCATATTTAATATTCTAATAAAACGCTGCAGCTCCAGGTTGCGTTTGGTTGCTGCACTCACCTGGACTGTTCTTCATTTCACAGCTACAGCACCTCCTGACCTAAAAATCAGACCCGCCCAGATGTCAGTCATGTTGGTATTTGTGTTAACCGACTGTGCCAAGAGAGTGGGGGTGATGTAACCAAGAAGAATTCATAGGGTCTGTTTCGTCTGGTTTGAATTCTTCCACTAACTCAACATTGCATCACAGTTTGTTTTGTTCTTTTTCATTTTTTTATCGTCGTTATTCATAAGAACCAGAGGGAGGCATTAAACGATGAGAAACTCAAAAACACATTCTTACACCGATCACAACGCAGTGTAGAATATTAAATGGTGACATGTGATACACGGACAGCTCACAGTCTAAAGTGCTGCATCGGTTGTCGTGACCGTGTGCAGCAAATGTTTGGCCTTCGTGGATCGACAGTAACGTGGGAGGGGAGGGGACGTCTGACAGCTGCTGATTCTTCACTGAGCTCCTTTGTTGAGACACAGTGTGTGAAGCTTCACCACAACAGCCACTCTGCATGCTGCCAGACTGGTTCAGCAAAAATCACTTAGTGTCACCGGTGTGTGACTGTAAAGGTGTGTGTGTGTGTGTGTGTGTGTGTGTGTGTGTGTGTGTGTGTTTTGAGGATTAAACAGCTTTTACACAAAGATTAAGTAAAATTAAAGAATCTTAACTTCTTTCCTTCTTCTATGTTTTGTTGCTTAAGTGTAAGATTCAGACGAGAACATCTTACAGTTGAAAAGTTAAACTGAGGTCAATTCAACCATTGTGGATTCAGTTCATATGGAATTGGTGACAAAGATTTTGAATGTGTAAACGTGACAAAGAGTGGAAAGCGTTAGTTAACACATGTGTGTGTTTGTCAGTGGTCGAGCCCTCGGGTATGTTTCTGAGCAGGAATGTCTTGTGCCATGAGGCGTGTGGAGGCAGGTGGGAGCCTCTTCTTCAGGAGTGTTATTCCCAGAGTCTGCGATCACACGCACAAACACAGACAATCACAATGATTGTCATCATCATTTTAAAACAGCAGAAACATGTCTGGCACAACCTGGATTTTTTTACATGAACAATTCCCCCATGTAAACTATCACCTGAATTTGGATTTAACCTCGTTTTCTGCTTTTTATCTCCACATTGTGATTCTCAAAGGACAGATTCTTCTATTTATCTGGGTTTTAATGGTGCATATAATACTATAAACTTACATTTGAGAGAAACCTCTGCTTGGAGCTCTGTTTCCACACCCTCCTCTGCCTCATTTGGGGGATACGCAGCCCCATGCAAACAATCCTTGGCATGTTTGAGTCTTAATGGATAAATTATTTTATATTTATTGATGTTTTAATGCTGCATATAATACAATAAACCTGATGTGGTCAAACACAGAGAAACTTCTGCTTGGGGCTCAGCTTCCACACCCTCCTCTGCCTCATTTTGGGGGATACACAGCCCCATGCCAACAATCCTTGGCATGTTTGGGTCCTAAATAGGACACTCATTGTGGCGCACAGAGTCACACAAGGACTCCTCTCTACACCAGGAGTCCATATTGTGTGTGTGTGTGTGTTAGTCCTGCAGGCTCAGGGGCACCTCGGCAGTCCCTGATCCTCCACCACTAACCTCGTCAAGTTTGGACAGGTAACCGTAAACCACCTATAAGGTCCACGCCCTCCGCTGCGCACAGGTAATGTGGAACAGGAAGTGGCTGCTGTCAATCCCGTCGCTGTGGCTGTAATGTGGATGAAGTGTTTGAGACATAAAACAGCTGCTTTGGGGTTTTTAATTATTTAAAACGTCTTGATTATTTTTAAAACAGGAAGATCCTCGGTTTATTTTAGGAGAAGATGCGGCTCCGTGAGACGCGCGCGTTGCTGGGACTTTTGGTTTTGACAGTGTTCCGGTCCTCAGGTGAGAAGACACAGGGACATATTCCCCCTCAGCAAGAAGCATATGTGCATTTTCTGTTTGGTGAAGCTTTGCTGCTTGTTTTCAGTTTTTGATGTTAGAACTAAAGAACCGAATCATCATCCTGGGTTTGACTTGGCAACATTGTGCCAAGTGGGTCAAACTGCATTTCTCTGTTACGCACGCGCTGTTCTGTGGGTTTAAACGTGCTCAGGTGGCGGCTCATGCAGAGACGCACTCCTGAGCAACTCCGTGGGTGTGAAGTGCAGCAGAGGACATTAAGGCAGCGTTACATGTGATTGACTGATTGACAGTGGAGAGGAGAAGGCTGCAGCACATTTCCTCAGCCTTGACTTCTAGACCTCCATTTTCAAACGGTTTATGAGGCTTTTATGGAGCTTCCTGGAGGCATAATTTCATCCAGGCGTCATTAATGATTGACCAGCAATCTGCTGAGCTCTGAATCATAATTCTTCTCTCCACCGGCTTCAGTCATTTCTGTTGTGGAAGTCACCGGCAGCCTGGTGGATCCATAATATTTGTGGAAATGTTCTCTGTTGGCATCAGACATGACCCTTCAGAACTCTGTGATGTCCCCAAAACACTGACTGTTTGCTGTCAGGTCAAGAAGGACGTCAGCACACAATCCCTGTCCAGCAGATTTACAGGGATTTTCTAACCCGCACTAAGCAGATGTGTTGGTGTGTAGGTTTTGGTGTTTGTATGTTCGGGGCTGTGCATGTTTGCAATACAGGTATGTGTTTGCACTCAAGGCCATTTACTAAGAGACATGTGTCTGCAGGTATACTCTCATGTTGCTCCTCCTGTTCTGTCTACATCTTGAGATCATTGAACATTGTTAACGTTAGCGATCAGTTGTTTCTATGATCGATTCGTCTGTCGAGTGATTTCTTGATTAATCGATCAAAGACAGAAAACATTCACATTTTAGAGGCTGAATTTTTACTTTAAAATACTCAAACCAATTCATCAATCGTGAAAATAGATGGTGATTTATTCAGTTTTTTGATTAGCGATTGAATCATTGTGTCTTTTTCCATGATATACTCAATATTGATTTATATATTCGTTTATATACCAACATCATTCAAATATATGACTATTTAGAAGCCCATTCCCCGGTGGTGTTTCTCTAGAAACAGATTTTTGAGGCTGATACAGATAATATTGTTGAATGATAAAAAAAAAAACATCACGAAATAATAAATATGACCAGAACAACTACATTTAAAAACTAATACAGAAAATTAAAACATGGATAACGTTGAATCAGATGCCTTCAGTTAGTTTTAAATTGTCACCATCATAAACAGGCTATTGATTTTTGATCGCTATTTATTAAAATATGAATTGGTGGACAAACTTAACCTTAAACCTTCTTTTAAAATGTCTGCTCTGCAATTTCTGATTATTATTTTCAGCCAACAAGATACCTATTAACATCTACGTCCAGTAAGTTGTTGGCGTATCAGTGTAGTTCTAGTGTGAAATAGTAAAGACCATGTTTTTTCAGGCTGCAGTGAAACCACAGCTGGGTCTGAAACAGAGACACACATGAAACCAATGGTGCCAGGAAGTGTAGGTTTACATCTGCTGACGTATAAAATTACACAGGAAATAGTTTGATATGACTGTGTAAACGGATGAGGCTTCATATCAACAGGCTCTGAGAAGTTTGTTTACAGCACAGGAGAATGTGATTTCACAGAAACAGTAGTTAGTAATGACTTTTAAAACTGGTTCCACTCAGACTCAGTATAATGACAATCCCATTCATTTGCTCTGATCTGCCACCACAGAGGATAGGTGTGTCTGGAACCACTGTGTTTACTCAAGCGTGCGTGTTTGTGTGTTTGGTGCCTTTTGTCCTTTTTGAACTGATGCTGTTCCTTCAATCAACATCTGCTTTGTGTGAGCTCACTTGCTCCTTCCTCCTCTGTGATGTTTCAAACATCTGCAACTGATGTGCTCATCATCGTGATACTGTAATGACAGGGAATCGATGATCGTAATTGATCCCAATTAAAAGTCTTATTATTATGGATTGAACAGCTCGTCTTTTCAGCCTCAGCTCTGCAGGTCATTCTGCTCATTTGAATTATATTTTTTATGAGATAGTATAATGAGCCTGTTGGAGTGTTTGATTGTGAAATATCCAAAATTCCAAGAGAAAAAATACGAGAATCTGTCGAAGCATGCACTCAGACATTCTGCTGTGCAGTTGAAACAGGACAGCGCTGGTAATAACGATCCTCTCTCTCATTTTACATTGTTAATATGTTTTAATTTCTTTCCCCAACCTGCTCAGAAAACAGATCAGTGATCCTAAGTTTACGACGTCTGCTCCTCGCAGCTAACTCCCTCTGATCTGTGTCCTCAGAGTGCCTGCAGACGGTGGTCCAGTCCGACAAAGGCTCAACGGTGACGGTGTCCACCGAGCTGCCTCTGGATCAATGTGCCGTGTGCACAGTCAGCGGAGTGAATGACACAGAGACTTCCTGCCACTCCTCTTTCTCCCTGGTACCTGAAGAGGAGGTCAAGCTGCTGTTCAACTGCTCGCAGCCGGTAGAACAGTCTTACACCGTCACAGTAACTCAGACCATCGGTGAGTTTACAGCTGGATCTGATGATACTGACTGTTAACTCTTTGCAGGTCTGAGTGTTTTTAATTTGAAATATATCTTCTGGCCTCATTTAAAGCTTTTCAGGAATAGTTTTGTTTAAAGAAACACACACACACGATTACTCTGACAATCCCTGAAAAATAGGGACAGATATCTGATAAGGAACACCTTCATAAAGAAACACCACTGCTGCACCACCCTGAAAACACCATACCCAAAAATAAGATGCTTACTCTTCAAGAAATCACAGTCGTAGGTTGTGTGAGTGCACCCCTTAATTCAGTACTTAAACCAATCTGTAATGTTTCTCCTTTAATTGTAATCCAGAATGTACCAAAGACGCCTGCAGCCCAGCGACAGTAGAAACTCAACCCATCCTCACAGAGCTCAGCAGAAGCTTCAGCTGGGAGCTGAAGGCCCCTGAGAAGACGGTGGTGAGTCTGGACATCCTCGGGGACGGACTGATGGAGACGTCGCAACCGTGCACCGATGGATTTGAGTATGCGGTGAACACGTCCAAAACAGACGGCAAGGGTCGGACTCGGTACTGTCGGGGCGGATCTGTGACTCGTCTAGATCTGGCCAGTGAAGCCGTCGTGTCTCTGACAGTTAAACCAAAGGCTCAGGTGGAATCTGTGTTGTTTCAGGCCTCTGCTGGACCATTAAGTAAGAAACGTTTACTGAATACACACTCCTTTTATTTTTTACAATGCTGTTTTTAGTTGGAGCTGTTCTAAAGTACCCAGGATATAATGGTTACTAAATATTTGCTCAACACATACACACACATCACTAAATATACTGTAGGTTTTTAATGGTGTATGCAGTCGGCTTTAAGACTTTACTTTAAAAGTAATTAGTACTTTACAAATAGCTTTTATAACCCTGTCTGTCCGTCTCCCTCTGTTTTCACCTCCTCCAGAGGGCCGAACGATGGTCGTAAGTGTTGACCCCAGCACCACTGCGATCGTCAGCCGGGATCCTGGCGGGACGGAGTGTGAAGTCTGCACCGTTGACGGTTCTGCTCCGAACTGCAGCCCGACAGAAAAGACGCTGACCAACGCTGACAAACTCTCGCTGGAGTTCAGCTGCCCCAAACCTCAGGAGATGTACAGTGTGAGGATGAAGAAGAAAATAGGTGAGAGCTCCGGAGATGTTCGTTTATTTCATCCACCAGCAAACAGTGGGAGTGATGCTTGAAATTAACTTCAAATTAAATGATCATGTATGGGAGACACAAAAAAACCGTTCTACTACAAATTTTAGAAAACAACAAATATAAAGATATTTAAATAAATACAATCAGAAATGTAGAAATTTGTAGTTATAATTCAGTACAATTTATATATTCATTAACTCAATGTATTTATTTACGCAATTTAGGAATGCAATCTGAAATTATTTATTATTTAAAAATGTACTATTTTCATTATTGCCTTATCTTTCAATTATTTTCCTGATTCAATAATTCTGGTTTTATAAACTGTTCAGAAAAGAAAAGTCTTCACCATTTTCGATTTTTTTCTTTACTCAGAATGTACACAGACCTCCTGCACTCCTGCAGCAGGAGACGTGGATCCCAGCCTCTTCGTGGATTTCAAAAGATCTCTAACGTGGGACATCAAAGTCCCAGAGAGAACCGTGTTGTCTTTGGATTTCCCCGGTGATGGACTGAAGGAGCTTTCTGGAGCAGAAAGCTGCAAAGATGGCTTCCAGTACTCTCTGAGTACAACGAAGAGTGACGGAAGCGTCAAAGCTAAAAGCTTCTGCAGAGGCGGGACAGTGTCTCACCTGGATCTGCTCGGAGCGACGACGGTGACTGTCGAGGTGCCCAAAGAAGAAAAACTGGAGCAGAAGGTTTTCAGTGTCAAAGCAAAACCAAGAGGCAAGAGGCTTTTCCAGCTCTTTGTTCACAAACACGCAATTCAATGTATTTGTACTGTACCAAATCACAACATACTATATCTCAAGGTACTACTACACAACCGCTACCAGTACTTTACGTATAATATTATGATAACACACTATTATACTAAATTGTTGTCTATGGTTCAGATGGGTGTGATCACTTTCTTATCGCGTTTTTCTCCAGGTAGCAGAATGATGTCTGTGACTCCTGACCCCGAAACCATCATCATCATCAGCAGGGTGTCGGACGAGCCTGACTGCAGCGTGTGTGTGAACGAGGCTCCAAAACCGATATGCAACCCGAGACATCTGAGAATCACTGAACCTCGCAACACCTCAGTGGAGTTTACCTGTCCTCAACCTCAGGATGTGTTCAGGGTGGAGATCAACAGAGACATTGGTACGAAGATCAGATTCTCGCCATTTGATAGTTATGTTGTTCAAAAAAATATGTTTCATCGGGATTCAAACGAGTGCTTCAAGGCCACTTTGCAAAAATGTATGATCGACAAATTAAAAATAGACTAAGGGTTCGATTTCCAAGTCTGTAATAATATTAAGTGGTCTTTAAATACTAGTGACTGTAAGTCACCGTCTCTTCCTCTAACTCTATAATCCCCAGACTGCACAGAGACGTCCTGCTCTGGTGACATCGTCCAGGCCGAGTCGTCGCTGTTCCCCGACTTCGACCGCACCTTTACCTGGGACCTGAAAGTTGTCTCCACTCGGGCTTTTCAACTGGACTTCCCAGAGACGGGAATGCGACAGATTCGCAACAAGGAGACGTGTCCGGACAACCACACGTACTCTCTTGTTACGTACCTGCGCACTGGGCTGGCAACCGTTGGGACCTTCTGCAAAGGGGGAAGTGTGAGCACCATCCTGGGTCGATACAAGGGCCGAGTGTCTCTGGAGGTGCCCAGGGACACGAAGCTCAACCCCGTTGACTTCAAACTCAAAGTTGGACCAGAGACCAGCAGTAAGTTGGCGAGTTTTTGTTCATGTTAAACATTTGGTCATGTTTACTGTCAAAGCGTATCTAAAGAGATAAACAGTAGATGTGTGTGTTTCTAACCACAATATTCTCTCGGTGTTTCCCTCCAGTGGTTGCCATAGTGAAAGTAAATCTACCACGAGGTGTATCAGACACAGACTTCATCACAGCCAACTATCCCGCTGATTTCCCCGATGACGAGCAGATGCAGTGGGACTTCACGGTGCCCGGCATGCACAACTACACGATGCATTTTCACGACCACACCGCACCGGAGTGTCTCAAGAGAGAAGTGGAGGTGGAGTACAAGAAAGAGGACAAGACGAACAAGCTGACTCTGACAGACGCTCAGCCGGCGCATCAGCAGGGCAACTTCAACATGGTGCTGAAGAACTGTAAAACCAACAAGACGCTGCAAGGACTCACCCTGAACTACAGCGTTTCTGTCATGAGGAGTGGTCATCCAGGTATAGTGTTCAAGAAACTCAAATTTGGTCATTCGTCCAGTTTGACAGATCGCAAACCAGTTTACATACTGTAGCAGCCTTTTCACTGTAAACCCACAAATACATGCAGTAGGTTTAGGACCAAATTAGACAAAAAGCAATTCCACGTTTTTGATTTTGGGAGATAAAGTTGATAAATGATGTTGATGAATGTCGTCCGCGCTGCATTTCCCTCTCAGTTCTGTGCACGGTGGATCTAACCAGTCGACGAGAGTCCCTGCAGATAGAGAAAGTTGGTTCTGATCCGTTCTGTGAGATGAGCATCGACTCCAAGGTTGAAAAGAAGATAAACGTGGCTGCAGGCACAAAGGCCAGTCTGTCCTTCCTCGACTGTCCCAAGGAAGAAGTTCGCCTGACTGCCAGTGAAGTCATCGGTACGACAATTTTATCTTTTTTGCATAGCTACATGATGAAGATTTGAAATTTGTTTTCTCACAGTACATTAACTTTCAGCAAGCGAGTGAATCAGCATATTTCAAAAATGTCGACTTTCATCCTTGTATATTTGTCTGGATTGATCTCTAAGGTTGAAAACCTAATATCTTTCATCTCTTGTAACAACAGGCTGCCAGAATGTGTCGTCGTGCCCTCCGATTGTCCTCAGTGTGCCCAAACTGGTTTCCTGTCTACCGATGCCCCTCCACAGCTTCACCTGGCACGTGGACGTCCCTCAGGACGGCACAGTGAACCTGGTGTCGCCCACAGGGGGCTTCCAGCAGTCCCTGCCGGGCCAGAGGTGTAATCAGTCAGTCCTATTAAATGTGGCAGAGAGGGACGCGTTTTCTCTCGGAGATTTCTGCTTTAACGGAATCATCCGGGAAATTCAGGCGAGAAACAACATCTCCGTCACGGCTACGGCCCATGACATCAGCAAGACCAGGAAGCCTCTTCTCAACGTCAGCTTCAGTCAGGAGATCCAAGGTAAAACAGGAATGTGCTGCAGCTAATGACTATTTTACTTTTTTCTAAAATACCTGTGGGTTTGATACTTGATACAGTTCAGACCAAACTTTAATAGATGCAAATACTTAATTGGATTATTAAGCAAATAATAATCAGACTAATCAGTGATGCAAATCAAATTATCAGGTTGTAATGTGGAATAAGCCCAGTAAAGCCCAGTAAAATATGTTCTATCTGTTTTACTTTGAAATTCCACCTGGGAGCACTGTTGTACCACAAATGCTGGACACACATTTTAAAAGTTTAGACCAGCAGAGACTCACAGTTCTGAGACTCTTTCCATTCTTTTTTCAGAGACCTTAATTTACAGAGTCAGCCCTGAGACGACGTCCCCGACCCTGCTGGCCACCCCCAACTGGCCCCAGGGTATGAAGCCGTCCTCCACCATGTCCTGGATCGTCACCCTGCCGAGCCAGTACCAGGCGCACTTGAATTTCAACGTCAGCCAACCCAAGTGCCTCTACCGGCACACCGCCGTGACGGTGAAGTTGCTGGGCTACGAGGAGGAGATCATGAGCCGCAGGGAGGACGAGGAGGTGGAGCTCAAGCTGCTGGTGCCTCAGAGTTTCTATATCAACATGTCCAACTGCATACCAGAGGGGGGACAGTTTGGTGCACTCACCGAAATCGTCCTGCAGAAGAAGACCAGTAAGAAAGCACGAGTCTCAGCCTTTCATGTACACAACAATACTTAATTTAAAAACTAAAATAATAATGTTTTCTTCATCCCGCCACAGATCTCCTGGCCATCCTCCTCGGGCTGGCAGGAGCCGTTTTGATTGTGCTGATAGTGCTGACTGTAGTATGTGTCGTCACAAAGTGAGTAAGCCTGTAACAGAATTATAACAATTATAACAACTTTGATTTATTCAGCACCTATCAAGGTACCTGAGGCTTCACAGAGTTAGAAACGAGGACAGATAAATAATAGTGGAAATGCTTACTGGTGGTCAGAAAATAAAAAAAAATGATTGCTGATTTTGTTTATGATGAATTATCTCTTATTTGTTTTCTCTGACGAACCTCGTCTTTTTGTTTGTTGGTTCCATTTCATCCAGTTTCCTACAGGATGAAGTGTCATCAGTCAGTTTATATAAACAGCTTTCATTTATTAAACTTTCTTTGATTGATTGATATTTTACTACATTTTGTCAGTTTTGAGGCTCCATTCTTAAGTCTTGAAGTTTGATGAACATGGACCCTTGTTTCTAAGCAGGTCGACCCTGTCTTATATATAAAGTTATATTTATTTGTTTGTGTTCAGTAACCTGGCAGCTTGTTTGAACTCCCTCTAATCGATTCTGCTCTGCATCATCTTTTCAAAACAGGAAAAAGAAAAATGAAAGAAACAAAGAATCCTCCATCTACATCGGCAAGGGGAATATCTTCCGCCCAAGTGACGGGCATTTCACCAAAAGCCGCTCTGACAACGAGTCCCACGTCTACGCCTCCATCGATGAGACGATGACTTACGGACATCTCCTGAGCAACACCAGCTACGCCGACAGCATGCAAGACCACTACAATGGGATGCAGGTGGACTCTTATCACACGTTTACAGGCCCTGTTGATGCACAGCTGCCGGTTATCAAAGAACCGGATCCGGAGCCCGAGACAGACCAGTACAAGACGTTCCTGGACCCCTCCGAGTCTTTCATCCCATCCCGTCCACGCACCCCCATCGACCGGCAGGACAGCCTCGGCTTCCAGGACCGCAGGATGGTGGATAACGAGCTGTACACGTTCAAGAGCACCGGGGACATAAACACCATCCGGCTCTCTGGTGTTGACCAGGAGCCAGAGCCGCCGATACTTGAGGAATACTTGTAGTTTGTCACAACTGGAGCTGCGTGATGGACAGCTGTTACTCCGTATCTCTGGTCCGTGCTGATGTGAATGTCCCTGCCTCTATCACACAGTGATCCTGAGCTCGATTACGTTTAAATGTGACGCTTTTCGTCGGTTAAATTTTTAAAAGCTTCTAAGCTTCAGGAGCAGAAGCTGTGATTTTCTTCTTTGAAGAAGAATATTTTGGGAGGTACTTTTGCTTTCCTGCAGAGTTAGAGAAAAGCATTGATTCCAAACTCGTCTGTGAAGAAAATATGCAACTCCTGCCAGTAGCTGCTTAGCTTAGCTTAGCATAAAGACTGGAGACAGGATAATAGCTTGACTGGTTCTACTTGAACACACTCACCTACCAGCACCTTTGATAAATCGTTTATTTGTATGACGTGCAGCGACTTGTTTGTCATGAGGGAAATATCGATCTTCCCATAGAATTTTCAGCAGGAAAGCAAAAACATTTATATTTCATAAAAAAAGTCAAACTGTTCCTTTTAAAGTTTGATTTGTTTAGTTTTGTTAAATCTCTGACCTTAACTGTGTCGTAAGTCAGGGGCCGCATCCTTTGGAGGCTGCATCTGAAGGCAGATTGCTTCAAAGCGATGTGACCAGGCTGTCCCGTTGCAGAGGCTCCTCCAAACGCAGCCTTTCATCCCTGAGAATCAAAGCCTCCAACGGGTGGATACATTTTCGCTTCGTTGACAAACCGTTTTTTTCAAAGCAGACCTTTCATTTTGGTTCAGCCCACCAAGGAGGAGGTCTTTGTGGGCCAGGGTAGAATGCATCCTCCGGCGGATGCAGCCCCTGATTCTTGACGCGGCTCATGTGACATGGACTCAGGAGCAGGAATGTGTTTTTTGAACGTGTTTTTATAATGTTTGATAGTCTCTTTTAAATATTCTGTACTTGTAAATACTGCTGGGGTTTGTTTTTTTTTTTGCAATAAATTCTTGTTAAATGGCATGTTGGGGAAACACTTTGCTTCTTGAGGTAATGGCAGCCATCACACACTAAAGCAGTGAAATTTTATTTTCTCCTCCCAAGGTGAAACACTGAACTTTCGACTTTGGACGGTGAAAACAATTTCAACCACAGGAACTTTAGCCATGAAAAACAAGTGGATGGAGGGTGTGGACGAGTCGACTGCAGAGCTGCAGCCTGTGTTTACTGTGGAGAAGAAGTGTGTTTCACTGGAAACAACACGCGCCAGGTTGACTTAGTTGCTCCACATTTCTGTGAAGAGTCTGCGTTTGTCTCTGATCCTTTGAGACTTTAGGGTGCGACATGTTCAGTGTTAAATCTGCATCAGAATGCATATTAAGATGGATGACATGTCAGTGCTCCAAAAGTGAAGCCAAAGTGTCTTGATCACCCCCTGGTGGCTGTCTGCAGCATAGATCATGAATCCTGCCTCCTCCATGTTAGTGGACCCAATTAAAAAGTGCATGTCATATATTTTTTTCTCAAAGCTGGTTTCTGATTTGATCCAGACCAAATACCAGATGTAGTGAAGAGTACAAGTATCTCAAGTGTTTGGCAGTTTACACTCAGTTTTTAGTTTGAATCCACCAAACCAGATTCATCATATTAATTTGTGAGTTTGCTACTCAGCAGACATGACCAGTGCACAGAGCTGTTTCCAGTGTTTCTGCCAAGTGGAAAACTACAGCAGAGGAGACTGTCGGCTGGTTGTTGGCTGTAACTTCACAATTGCTTCACATTCATATCCTTTCATATAAAACTCAACAAGAAAACAAAAAGGGTCAACAGAGAAGTATTCTGTTATATTTTATTGATTGTTTTCTTCAGCTTATATCAGGCTTGACATTATAGGAGACTACAAAAACAAGCAAATAATCTGTGTCGGATGTTTGTTTTCTTTATGCATCTTATATATTATTCTGGCTCCATGTGAGTCTTGTCCGGAAACTACAGTAGTAATTAGTTGTGAAGGGAGGCCTGAGTTTAAACCAGCGGTTCTCAACCAGTGAGTTGAGGAGCTTCTTGTAATCGAGATGTGTATTTTTGGAAAAGTGAGGTTACACCCAGTTTTTTAGGACAGTGAAAGGTGCCAGCACCTACAAACCACTTTTATAACAGGAACACTGGCATTTTGAATCAGGGTTTTCTAACAGCCCGCTCATGTTTTGATATAATTGGAGAAAATAGAATTTGCGTTTTTAAATAAATGATAGAAAAAGTATAATTACTGTTAACGAAAAAACTTCTTTGATTTCCTTGGTTTTATTGCGACCACGGAGAATGCTGCAAATTACACCTCACCAGGTCTGTTTTGTGAGATATAACCACTTCATGCCGCAGAATGAGACTTTTTCCGTTTGAATTTGGTTTCAGGTAAAAAAAAAAAAAACCCAGCTGAGAACCACTGGCTTAAAAACTCCTTTTTTAAAGTAGCAGGCAAAGTGGCGTTGCAGCAAGAGTACACAGACAAAGCAGCAATGACCATGCAGAGTCAATCGTGAGATAAATGTGTTCAAACAATGTTGAACTGGCAGACAGACGCCTTCTCGTCACGACAGTTCTCATCAGACCACTTCCCACGGGCGGCCCCAGACAGGCTGGCACAGTTCTGCGACTGGCCACCATCCGGCTGAGGGGACCGGGTGTTGGAGGTGTCCCAGTTTTTGTATGTGATGCTGGAGGCAGTCTGGTCCATCCAGGTGCCCTCGGTGATCATGTCGTTGACGCCCAGCCAGACCTGCTCGTCCGGGCCGATGCTTTGGCGGACGTAGTCTCTGAGCTGGTCGTTCTCGTCACTGGATGTGGGCGTGCCGAGGACGCCGCCCATGGCGTTGCAGTCTTCACTGGCAGTGTGATAGCGCTTCTTCACGGGGTCAGCTAAGAAACACTTGCCATGGATCTTTATGCCTTTCAAACAGACTAAAGAGGGACATGAAAGTCACGTTAAGCTAAATTGTTATTCATTGTCACCTTTAATTCTTTCTGTAGAGATGATACAAGTGCTCTGTTTTCTGCTTTGTGATATGAAAGTAGCTCTGTGGTTGTTAAGATGTCCTCAGCACTGAAGATTTTTGGGATGTGCAGGAACAACTGGATGTCATCTATTGTTCCGCACTCGAGCGCTGGCGAAGGTTCACCATGTGCCTTCCACATTAAGAGATGTGGTTCAAACACTACACATGTATCCCATCTGTCTTTATTTTTAAAAGAAGCATAGCCCAGTTTGTTGGATTCAACTTGGAAAACATCTGCGGTGCTATTGATGTAGCTCATGTCACAGTATTAACGAGCTTAACGATTCTGTTCTTTTTTTATGACTTGAATGTGCCAACAATCTGTTATCTCAACATTATTATCCACCTTGAGATAATTAATAGAACCTAACTAGCACAGATGTGACACATGCAGTTGGAATATAACAGGTGGAATGTGTTAACAGTATATATTCAGCTTACCATCATTTTTAACAGGGTAATCATTTTGTAAATGACATGCTGTGTGGGGTCTATTTTAATGATGTAAGTGTATAGCACATGGTTGTGAGGGAAATAAGGGTTGCTGTGCCAGATGCATGATTCAGAAGTGTTTAGTTTAATTAATTAATTAATTTGGGTGTAATGTGCAATGAAAGTAATATACAGGAACTTGCAGATTGGCCCACTGCATTCCAATATGTCTGCAATTGCTGGTTTTTAAAAATGCCGGGTGTGAAGCGCTGCTGCAGACAATGTACCTGGAAGGTGCATCAGTTCCAGCAGATACATTACATTGATACTTACTTATACTAACTGCTAAAACCTCTATGCTATGACCGTTAATGATTATGCCTCTTCCTTTTAAAAGAAATTGCACATTTAAAGCATAAGTGGTTTTCATGCAGTTGTGCACTTTGCCTGATAAGTAATGCATCTTGGTTATTGATCAGTCTAACACCACTGTTAGTATTCATGATCCTGGTTGTGTGGCACCTTTGGACATTAGATTCCCACTTAGAGGAATTATTTATCCTCTGTTTCTTATTTGATCAGGACCTTCGTGTCTCAGTGTACCTGTCTGCAGCGCCTGTTGCTCCTTCAGGAGGTTGAGCTCCTCGACAATGCTGTTGATCTGTTTCTGCAGCTCCTCGATGGCAGAATCTTTTGGTGTTTCTGAGTCCAACAGCGGCAGAGACACAAGAACATTCAAATCAGTTCTGCACATACAGTATAAGGAAAATCAAGAAAATTCAATTTGAAAGCAGCGTCTCAACCAGCCCACAATAACCTTCCATTCTTCATAAAGGCTCTGAAGATCCAGATGTTTTCCATCTACCTTTTTTCACCGGCTTCCTCTTCGGTGGCGTCTGCTGCAGCGAGCAGTTCACCAGCAGCAGCGCTCCCAGCAGCACACACACTCCTCTGAGCTCCATGATCAGACCTCTTGAATGAGAATGTTCCAACGTGGACGTCTGCAATTTATCTCTCTCTCCCACAGTCTTGCTCTTTCCTTCTCACGCCCTCCCTCTCATACCTCATGTCTTTTGCAAGAATAACAACCACAGGAGCCTTAGAGGATGATGTGTGTGTGTGTGAGAGAGCGTGTGAGTGTGTGAGGTATTACTAATGTTGTAAGGACCTAAATCTGTTTACACAGTCACTTTATGAGGACCTGTCTTCCTTGTCTGCTTTTAAAAAAAGAACCCCATAATATAAATTATAAAAAACAAACATATATTTCAAGGTTAGATTTTGGTTTAGTTTGAGCTTAGGGTTATGCAAGTATGTGTGTGAGTGTTCCAGGTTTTACTTATGTTGTGGGGACCTAAATCTGTTTCCACAGTCACATAATGGGGGCTTGTCTTCCGTATGGGGGACAAAAAACAAGTCATAGCACAAATTATTACATTTTAAGGTGAAGATATGTTTTTAAGGTTAGGTTTAAGGGGTTATGTAAGTAGTAATTATGTGTGTGTGTGAATGTGTCTCATCTGACTCCAGACACTTAACCAGAGCCAGGTGAGGCCTGCAGGTGGAGACAGGCAAACAGGGCGAGACCGTGTGGAAAAGGTTATGACATAACCTTGTGCAGCTTTCATCAAAGTGTAAGAAACACAAAAAAACACTGAATCATCTGTTGCATAAAAGCCTTAACAGTCGGGGTAGTTTATTTCTTACCTTAAAAAGAAAGAATAAGACTTTCTTTCCAAATATCTGGCCAAGGGGCTCTTTGAAAACTCTAAGTTACCGGCCTTATGTGGAAAAAAATGTGATTTCCAGGTGTTTTTGGCAGCAGTGAAGCCCTGAAATCCAAAGTTCTTTAATCATTACATGCAAAGTCTCTTATCATCTTATCAAGACTTTTTATTTTTTGTTTCAAGCTCTGCAATGAGAGCTCTGGCCACAAATATGAATTTGTTTTGGAGCTGTGCGCTGCACAACAGCCTGAGTGGAAACGGTCCAGTCACATCTGGTGTTTCTGTGAAGACTTCAGCTTCACACAATCCTCCACCGACACGTGGCAAAGACAGGAAGACTCAGAGAGGCTGGACTTTTACTGTTGTGGGACAGCACCTATTTCACATCTGAGAACTGCAGCTTAACTGACTCATTATCAGTGATGATAAAATCAATTAGTAGTTGCTGCCTTAAATCAGAGCATTACTAATAACTGGGACCCTGACGTCTTCTCATGTGATGACATATATAAAAGAGCTGCTGCTGCTGAATCTCCAGTTGTTTGAGTACAAACGTATTTGAGCTAAATCACATCTTTTTGTGTTTATTAAAACACTAACACCACACTGTATCCAAGTTTCAGCAAATACAAAAACAAGCAGACTGTACAAATTAAAAGTTTTATTAGAAAACTATGTTTACATGTACATACATCATGCAGAGACAGTATCAACCGAGGAAGCCGACTTTCTGTCCCTTCTTTCCCAAACTCTCCTCCTGCCGCAGCAGCTTCATGAGCGGAGCATGAAGAGACTTACCGACCCGTTTACCGGCCTGGGGACAGAAAAAAACCAAACATAAGTCCCGTTTTAATGTAGAGACGTATTCATGCACAATTAGATTTTTAAAAATGTGATGCAAGTTTCTCTCTGTATTTTTCATATCTTTTGTAACTTGACATCATTTTCTTAAATAACAGCAGAGTGGGGGTTAATGTTAGAGGAGTAGATTCATATTTATTGTATGAAATATTTATAATATCTGAAATAATGTATATAATTACACAAATATTTCTGACAACTACCGTAAAGTATTTAATATCAATAGAAAGTAAAAAGGCAGCTAAATAAATACTTTGACATTTTGGGAAATATACTTATTAAAATACAAATCACGCATCTGATTTTCTTGGTTATTTTAAATAATAATAACCCGGTTATTAGCTCAAGGTCGACTCTCACTGCTTTTGTCATAGTAACACTTTATAATAATATAATAAAAGCAAATTATGCTAATGTGGCAGCTGTGGAGAGAGCGGGCCAGATGGTGGAGGAGGACGGCCGGACTCACCTCTGTCATTTCAAAGATGCTCTCTGGATCCAAGCTTCCTCCGCCCACCTTCCTCGTGCAGGTGACCGCGCCCTTGTGCGTGACAGAGATGATCAGGCTCGCCACAGAACACGCCTTCTCCTGCAGCGTCGCGTCCACCACGTGTCTGTGGCCCACCTGCACATAAACAGTGTGTCTGTGTCATCATTTGTGTGACAGTGGGCTTTATAAATAGAATATCAGTACATGAGCTCACCTTGCACAAGGTCACGATACAGGGGACATTTTCTACATTAAGTCTCACGCAGTCATACGGGTCGTCCGACAGCTCAATTTCCTTCGCCCCTTCCTCATCTGCTGAAATGTGCACTTTGGGAATTCTGTTGGTAATGAGGTCAGAAGACTTTTTATAACTGAACAATATTATAGCGAGAGGGATCTTTAATTAACAATCCAAACTTAAAACAAACAGCATAATGACACTTTACTTACTTTGTGTTGAAGAGCGCTGCTTTGATAGCTACTGAAATGGCATCGTACAAGTTTCCATCACACTGCAGGAGCTGTAGAAACATACAGGAGTGAAATATTACCCGAACCAAATAAGAAGTTATTTGAGCAAAAACTCTACAAAACTCATTCAAATTAGGATAGACGACGGCAATGTCTGAACACCCACCAGCACGTCCACGTAGAGCACCCAGCAGTGTTCTCCTGCACTGATACACAGACTCTTAAGGTCCACACTGTGTTTGTTGTTGAATACTTTGTAGAGAGTGTTGCTCAGCTCCGTCCCCAGCTCCTCGCCTCCTCTGCCCTCAAATTCAGGGGTTGCATTGGCCGAACTAGTGAGGGGAGGAGAAAACAAGACAATAAGCATGCGCAGTAACAGAATATCTATCCGTCCGAGAGTTTCTGTCCTTTCTTGAGCCCGTGGGAAAGAGGTGAGGAAAAATTAGCCTGCTACACATCTCCACATGAGTGTTGAATGTTTCCTGTAAATAGATTCACATGTCCCCTGGATTTGGTGGAGTTACATTTCACAGAGAACAGACTATACAACTCCTCCTAGTGGCAGAGACTACATTGAAACACTACTTAACCTGTTCACCTACAATTCTAATTGTATGAATTAGGAAATATATATTTTAAAAATAATACTTTTTGAATTTTAAATCTTTATTTTGTGATTTTTAAGACAAACTCTGTTTGTTAAAACAACATAACTCTTTTAGCATTCATTGCTGTCTGAGGACATTTCGCTGTTTTGATCTGCTTTCCCATAACACTGAGGGACAATGAATTCATAACTTGAAAACTAAGTCTCATTTTCAAAACGCTTGATTCTTGTTATGCATGACTTTAAGCACCACACGTACCAGTCAACAAAGAACTCCAAATAACCTTCATTAGGTACCAGGGGCCTCGGTTTTCCTATGTCAGCCTTAATCCCAACCAGCACTGCTGTGTGGCCCTGACGGAGACACAACATGAAATCATAGACAATCAGTCAGTGAAAATACACACATCCTAAATGGGAGACGAAATTACATGTGCAGAAACAAGATGTGAGTTAGAGCCTGATTTGGTTTAAGGAGAAAAATTAATGAATGTTGGACTTGTGCTGCAGATGCTGAGGTACTGTGTGTGTGTTTGTGTGTGTGTGTGTGTGTGTGTGTGTGTGTGTGTGTGTGTGTGTGTGTGTACCAGTGTGACTTTGGCAGATCCGTCAGTGTTGGACACCACGTCAGTCTCGATCTCCATGTGTCTGTAGTCCTCACAGCCTCGTCCATCCACCCTCAGGTCATCCTGGTGTCCACAATCAACATGTCAACAACAACAACAACACCACCGGCTCTGTTAGCATCGTGCTAACGCAGCTAGCCTTTCCGGGGTCGCACAGCACCAGCCGCTGCTCCACAGAGACATCGTTTAACATGGGGACTGAGGTGCGGACGTGTGAAAACGAACTCACCCGTATTCCGTGTAAAATGTAGACCTTCTCCGCCTCGCTGACTTTTACAGTCGCCATAATGTTGTAAAAACCACCGGCGGCGCGCGCGTGTGTGTGTGTGTCGCTCTTCTTTCTACGTCATCAAAAGACCACGGCAAGAAAAATCACTCTCGCTTGAGTTCGTCTGTTTTGCTCACCTGCGCGTCCCGGACGGAGGGACACCCCGCCCAACACCCTCTGTCACTGAGCATTTATGATGAATAAATACACAAATAAGTAAAGATACACACATTTATTCATGTTATGTTTGTGACACTGTGCTGGCTGCCTTGAGTCAAATTTAAAATAAATTAAATCCAGGCCTCATGACCAAATAGGTAAAGTGTAAACCTGCTCTAATACCACGCTTTAGTACCACAGAAGTAGAATATGTAGCTATGACCCTGAGTTTGAAGAAGGACCCTGTTCCAAAATGTACTCTAAGACCTCAAGTAAGTGGTTTTCTGTCCAGCTCATTGGCTCGTAAATTGTGTCTCTGTCAAATTTCCTTAATACTTTTATTTGTGGAAAGTGTCAAACTAAGAAAAACATTGACAAGGTCTAAATAATCCATAATGGAAGTATTTGCCTTCAATAAATAGACGTAATATTTTATTTTCCCTTTTAATAATGAACTTGATTGTTGAAAATTTGTCATTAGGGTTTCATGACATCATGTGAGGAATCCTTGCCATGAAACAAAATATATGTTTCAAATGAAAAGTTAGTGGTTGGTCTCTGGCTGCATGAGAAACAGCGACACTGCCATGTGGGGGCCATGTGGGGGCCCAATGACAGTGACAGTTTGGCCCCAGGGCCTCGGATGATTTTCCTCCTGCCATGTGTTTAAAAGGCTCAAAGTGGGGATGATGTTGAAATGAACAGATTATATTATGTATATTGAATTGTGATGTGAGAGCTTCATCCAGCGGTCTACAGAGAACGGACAGTCTCACTACCGAGGGTTTCATAGAGAGCGACCTGAGCCTGAGAGGAGCCGCTGCCTGTCAGACCGCACTCCGGGCTGCAGTGCCCGCCCACAATCAGGGAGACACTTCCGGGTTGGCTCTGCGGGGTTTTGTTGTCCCTCCGCCCGCAGAGCTGTTCTCTGGACCCGAGGCCTGTTCCGAAGCTCGGCCCTCGGCTGTAGCTTCCACGCGGACCACACAACCACAACCGGCTCGTTGAGACCGAGGCTGCGGCGGCGGCGAAGGCGGCGGCGGCGGCGAGAGGGAGCGGGGGCCGCGGAGAGCAGCTGCCCGGGGATCGGTGAGGCTGGCTCGGGCTGAGCTATCGGGAGGAGACTCCCACTCTCTGGTTGATCTGTTTTAACCTCACAAGCCTCCAACACTACGAGGGCACTGCAGGAAACCTGTGCAGAGCAGCCCGGAGACTGCGAGGTTTGTTTTCTTACGACACATAAAGCTTCCTGTAATTTAATGAAATGTTCAGGCTGTAGACTGGATAACACCTGGGAGCACAGAGCTCATGTTCCGGCTGCACACTTACTTCCTGCTCCGGTGTGATTCACCTTCTGGAAGTTCAGTCACTGTGATCCCCGTGATAACTGTGCAATCATAGCAAGAGGTTACATAAGCAGCAGGAGAGCCTCTGCTCAAAGGCACTACAGCAGCTCATTGAAATCTCTTTTATGAAGTTTAACAACGTCGTTCTGTTTCCTTCATCCTCCATTAAATCAAACACAGCAAAACTCCAAAACGTGTGCAAACAAAGATACCATGTGTATTAACTTATCAGTATAATGAGATGGAATTCTGCAAACAATTCATTTTCACTAGCAAAGGATTAGTCGTTCATATGTTTGCTAATTATTCAAAGGTGAAAAACATTTTAAAAAAGTGTGCAGGCTCTGTAAAGAAGTTCAGCATTAAAAGTTTTTTCAAGTGTGTTTGCTGAATGACAACCAGAACAACCGCAGCAGATGCAAGTGCTTACTCATTCATTTTAAAGGTGAGACAGTGGATGTGATAAAAATAAAAGGCTGCACGCAAACCGGCAGAGAACAGTGTACAATATACATTTTTTCACTTCAGATGGTTTTTACAGAGAAACATCAAAAGAAAGAAAGAATGAATGGCTTTGTTGATTAACCAATAACCATTCTTTACTCAATCATATCAATCAAACTCAAGTCTCCAGGTTGAAGCTTCACACACACAGGTCGCTAGTTTAACTTACGGTGTCACACTAAATTCTGTTTCCCGATTAGGAGTTCCCTCATCGCGTACTTTATTTTGAAAGCAGCTGTTTCCTCCCTTTGATAGCTGATGTATTGGTCCATTAACACTTAACTTTCAAATCTGATCTGGTGTTTCTTGTGTATTTACCCGTCCAGTGTCACAGATAATTTCAAATCACAGTTATCAACATGTATGACCCTGTCTGAATACTATGGAGGCACCGTGTTTGGTTACTGCTGGAATAATGTGATGAAGTTGTATAAATACACCTGTGGCGGAAACATTAACGGTTTTCCACTTTTCAGGTCACAAACCTCTGATTTCACAAGCTGCCAAATGAAATTCTCAGTAAACTGACACCTTTAGTTAAACATTCATCTCACCAGGAGGTTTGGTCTATTACCCTCTCATCTCTACATCACACATCTGAATTCTTATCGCCCTCCCTCCCATGAACAGTCCTGTAAATCGTTGACTGGATATATGACTGTGCTGTGTATACATTTGGAGTTAGCTCCCTGACACAGTGGGCTGTAAATCTGCAGGGACGTCATGATTAGTCTCATTTCAGCAGCTCTCAGATTTGAAACGTTTCTCAGGTTTTGTACAAATGAAGCAGGGCTGCTCTGTGGAGGGTTTCTGTTGCTTTCATCTCATTCAGTCGCTCCCTTAAGTGTAAACACAGTCATTGACTGAAAGAAGAAATCTATAGACTTTCACAAAGGAACCCATTCACTGGTTGTTAATGAACCCTGGTTGTTCAGTTAGTTTCATTCCAGGTCTCTTGTGACTGTGCGTGTTTCTGTCTTGTCTGATCATCTGCATTTTCAGTAAACATCCCTTTCAGGGTCACGTTGTCATCTTTTTTTCTGGTGGAGTGAATTTCTAAACGAGCAGTTTTCAAGGATCCCCCATCCTGGAACCAGTTTTACTTGAAATGGCTCCGCTCCCACCATCTGAATGGGTCTGACACACAGTCACATGGATGACTAACAGTATCCTGACTGATAAAATCAAAACCTGCTTAACAAGGATTTCATCCAAGATTTTGAAATTGTTTTGTCCGTTGGTGAAGTAGACGAGCGAAATTGCCTTGATGAGGTTTTTCTGTGCTGAAACTGGAAAAGAGAAGTTTATGGGTTGAACAGTTAATTCAGCAAAATTCTCCCACTCCATAAAAAATATGAATCGTATGTCTCCAGTAGCCTAAATGTGGCAGACATGTAAAAAAAAGATATAAAATTTAAGTAGAATACAATGGAAAGTAACAAACAAAAACCTTGATTCCAGATAGTAAACAACACATACACATTCTAGGGTCCTTTTTGTTTAATCCAGACCTGTCTTTGATTATTTTAGCTCCCAGCCATGTTGTTTTCACTCCTGTTCAACTCCTGCCCTCTGCGAACACGCGTCCCTGCCAGGACCATTGTCCGGCCCCCAATTGATTCGGACATAAAAGTGAGAGAGGTCTATCGCTCAGTTAAACCTAATGATTACTGTTTAGAACTACGCCGAGGCTCAGACGTCCGCGGGGAAGAAGCAGTATATTCTGTGTATAATAATGAGCCCCATTGTCAGTCTCTTCATCCACACACACTCAGACCGATCGCTTATTCATCAGCCTCGTCTCCAGAAAGAACTGGACTCACACTCAGATCCGGTGCAGCTCTGGACTCAACTGTGTTTTAAGACCAAATGTGAATTTCAGCTTCTTGATCCAACACCATCTTCCTTTTGATGTGAGAGGAATCTGGATGGGTGGGTTCTCCTGCAGTGAAAGCCTCCTCCAGAGATTTGTCCTCAACCTCATTTGCTGATTTTCTCCTTTTTAGTCCCCATTCTTCACCATATTCCTCAAGGATGTCCTCATTAGTCTGTTAACACAGACTGTTAATTGTTGAGGGACAGCAATTCTACAGTTTGAATGCAGACGGCTCCTTTCCCATTGCGATGAGAAGAATTTTCTGTTTTCCACGGCGCGGACTCTGACGTATATCTTCATATTTGGGTAGTGGGAGGACGTGGAGATGCGTCGCCAATCTTTATAAACATCTTAATGCGATTAATCAAGAAAATAATCAGAAGATGAATACTCATTATGAAAATAATCAGCAGGAGGCAGCTCAACAATTAAACCACAAACTTAATCCAAATCCCCTGTGTAACTCTGTAATTCTCTTTTTTCTTTTCCTTTCATCTCTCTTCCCCTCTCCGCTCAGTATGCGGTCGGGGCCAAGGGCGTTGTAGGATGAAGAGCCCGGCGCACCGCTCCAGGGACATCGAGCGCCAAGCTGGCTACCTGAAGCCCGAGCACTGTGCCCCTCCCCCGCCACGCAACAGCTCCGACACCATGTGGTTCATCCGCGACGGCTGCGGCATCGTGTGCGGCGTCATCACCTGGCTCCTGGTCTTCTACGCCGAGTTCGTGGTGGGGTTTGTGATGCTGCTGCCCGCCAAGAACATTGCCTACAGCCTCTTCAACGGGTTGCTCTTCAACGGCCTGGCCTTCCTAGCCCTCGCTTCCCACGCCAAGGCCATGTGCACAGACCCGGTCAGTGAGACCATAACCCATAGGAAACGTATCATATGACACCCGACTTAACAGAAACTATAATTTCCTGCCCTGCCATGTCTTTTTCTCCCGTCTCACCCAGGGAGCCGTGCCTAAAGGAAACGCTACCAAAGAATTCATCGAAAGCCTGCAGCTCAAACCGGGACAGGTGGTGTACAAGTGTCCCAAGTGCTGCAGCATCAAGCCTGACAGAGCTCATCACTGCAGGTACGCTGAGTCAACGTGTGAGAAGATTCATTGCAAACCCTGCACCTTGAATGTGAATCTGGGCGTGCAGCGTTCTGCTGATGTGTGCAGCTTCCAGGGGAGAGTCCTGGAGAGACTCTCCCACAGGGACGCCTCTCCTCTGCGTTCCTGCCCCTCCCCCTGCTCCCTTCTGTTTTTTTAAGGGGTAGATAAGAAGCGTCCCCCTGTAGACTCTGCAGCTTGATAATAGGGAGTTTCCTCTGTGGCTGCTCAGTGTGCGTCCTGGGATCTGGAGGCATGAAAAGTGCAAAAACACAGCGGAGTAATTGAATTGTAATGAAAGTGAATCAGTTTGGAAGAAGTGGATGATTTTCTTTTGCTTAAATATTGAATCATCTTTGACTGTGGTTCAGATGACACACTTGTCTCTAATGACCCATAACAATCATATATTACACACAGTTTGGGAGCTTTTTAAATGTGTGTGAACAAAGACACAGAGTCAACACTGCTGAGGCCAGACTGACAGTCTGTTGTTTAAGTTATATAGATATTTCTCTTGCCTATATTTGTCCCATTTTCTCAGTGTCATGATGAATGTTTGTGTCCACAGTGTGTGTAAACGCTGCATCAAGAAGATGGACCACCACTGTCCCTGGGTGAACAACTGTGTCGGAGAGAACAACCAGAAATACTTTGTGCTCTTCACAGTGAGTCTTTGAGCGCGACATGATGCAAAATAATGAAAGATCGCATTAATACTCACATCTTACATTATATATATATCTACTATATTATAATAGTACATATATTTTATAATGTATCTATACAAACAAACGACTCCCCTTTATATATTTTTAATATGAATTATGAGTAAATGAGCTCTGCATGTCAGAAAATTTGTTCTTTTGAATAAATACACATCCTCCAGGGCAGCTGAATGTTTAACTCGGCCTCGATAGCTCAAATTGGGATTTTTACGGCTGCGTCTTGCTCGTGTGTGCAGCCGGGCTGACAGCAGGAGTCGTGTTGCTCTCTGGCCGACAGCAGCACCAACTGTGATACCACTTGTAAAAACTAGGAGGGCCTGATTCCACTTTGACATAATGTCTTGGTCTGATTTTGTTTTTTCAGATGTACATTGCACTAATTTCCTTCCACGCACTCATCATGGTGGCTTTTCACTTTGTGCTCTGCTTTGAAGAAGACTGGACAAGTGAGTAACAACTTACCACCTGTGACTGTAGGATTATAATTTTGATTTATTTAAAAATGTTTATTTAGGAAAAGGGCCTGCATCAGGATAGATTACTATATATTGACTGTTTTTAATGTACAACTCAATGTCCAAAGGTTTTAAACAAATTAAATGAAAACTCTTCCTCTTCTTCATCAGAGTGCAGTAACTTCTCTCCACCAGCGACCGTCATCCTCCTCATCCTCCTCTGCTTTGAAGCTCTCCTCTTTTTGATCTTCACTGCAGTCATGTTTGGGACTCAGGTTCACTCCATCTGTAGCGATGAGACGGTGAGTGAAACTGCAGTAATTTCACCCCCTCGTCGCTCCACTCTGACCCTCCTGAAAATGAATTTCAGCCGCACCAGTGTCAGGGATGATGGTTGGGTTCAGGCAGTCGGGTGACAACAGAAGTTGTCAGGATGTACTTTTATTTGAGAGTATCGAGAGGATTATTATGAAACAGACACAGTAAAGTGTCAGAGACTAGATTGTGAGTTAGGCTGCAATTTTCTGTCTGAACCCGACTGAGCCAGAGAGAAAACTAAAAGCATGAACCGAACCTGACGTGCATTTCGTTTGTTTGAACCCGACATTTTGTTGATTACAGGCTTTTGCAGCGTGACAGAACTCGACCCAAGCCCAGAATTAATTAAAAATATTTGACCGAACCCGGCTCGATCCATGGAGTTTAGTTAACCAGGCACAGGTGAAGGATTTATTAACAGAAAAACAGTTTGCAGTGGAGCTGCCATCTACACACTGAACCTTTAATGGTTCACACAGTTTGTTTTATCATTACTCGGATGTAAATAACCACAGGTAATTGACAGTCTCCAGGGATATGAACTCATAACGTATCTGCTCAAAACCCCCATCAGGAGGATGAGTCACACTGTCATAATATTCATCACAGAGATCATCTGTTTCAGTCGACTTCAGTCTAATAGAGCCTGCTGTGTGAGTCACCCAGCTATTAATGTCTGAGCGTTTTAAGCTTCAGTTTCAAATCCCTTTTGTTATTTTCTGTTTGTGCGTTACATTTTAAAGACACAGCTTTATCTTCACAGTTGATACCGTCTGTATTTTGCATCAGCTTTGAATTTGAATCAGTGTTGGAGACTCTTTCTCTCTTCTCAAGTCTTTCATCGTATCTCACTCCTGCAGGGTATCGAGCAGCTGAAGAAGGAGGAGAGACGATGGGCCAAAAAGTCTAAATGGATGAATCTGAAGGTGGTGTTTGGCCATCCCTTCTCCGTAGCCTGGCTGAGCCCATTTGCAAAACCCGACCACGGCAAGGCGGACGTTTACCAGTATATAGTGTGAAAGCCGGAAACGAACTTGAGCTCTGCTGCTGTGGAATTAGACTGATCGGTCCCGGGTCTGACGTCCTATTGGCCGGACCTGAACGAGCATGAACTCCTTTTAACCACGTACACGTTTTCTTTCTTTTATTGAAATTTCAGGGTATTCTATTGTTGTTTTTTTAAATATTGTCACCTTCTTTACATTTTATAGTTTCCATCTTGGTGCTGACTGAGATTATCGAGGTGTAGCTCAAAAGAACCAACTTGAAAAGGAGCACTTAATAAGAGTTTGTGAGAGAGTTCCGCCTTCTCTCGAGTCTATGTTCCTGCATCATTTCCTGCTTCCAATACTAAATGGGAACTGAAGTACAGATGGTTTTTTGCACGGAGCAGCACTGTTAAGGTCACCTGTTTATTTTTTCATCTCTGTGATCCTGTTCTGTTTTTTTCTGTATTTCTCTTGATGCAATAGTCTATAGCTGAATGCTGCGGATCATGTTGCCTTAGAACAGTGCATTAGTGAACGGTGGCATCTATTGTTTTTAAAGAAATGTTATTTTTGCCTTAATGTGACAGTCAGGGTGAGACAGGATCACACCAGTTCATATTATTTAAAATCCCAAGTCCCATTGAAATAAATGGGAAAGTAGTCTTGACCTTTAGTGGATTTGTTCAGGTGATCTTTGTCAATTTATGAAGTTTTCTCTTTTGATTTACTTTGTGGAGTTTTTGTTGGAAGTAAACCTCCGAGAAAGTTACAACAAATCACATGTAAGAGCAATATGAGTATGTTTTTTAACCAAGTGCTGTCAGAGGCTGTAGTAGAGAAGCAGTGGTCTCACAGTGGCCAGTTAAACTCATAATCCTTAAGATTTCAGTCCTGGTTGATTTGGCCACGACCTGCTAGATTATTTACATTGCAACCAATCAAACTCATGCTGCTTTAATTAAGAAGTCGGGCAATAATCAGTAGCTTTACATGATCATTATTAAATTAGATCTGATTCATGCTGCACGAGTTGTTTACCGCTGTAGATTGTTTATAAAGATGAACGACGAGTGTCCACTTCTTCCTGCTATCCAGAAATGAAGCTAAAATATCTCGGATATAAACGGAAAATGTATTTGGTCCATGTCCCATCCACAAACATGGAGAAGGGTGCAAGTGGTCTTACTTAGTCCATGCTGCATGCTTGCCAGTGACAACTCTAGCGACAAATTCATTGTTTCCTTTGATTTCTTCAAAGTCAAAGCGTGTTTGCAAGTTGAGTGCTCTTAATGTGAAGAGTAAAGGAAAAGTGTGTCAGTTAACACTAAATCAACACTAATTCAGCACAGAGTTTAATGGGTTTCCAGAAATTAGTCAGAAGAAAATGTGAAGTGAGTGACCTTTGTCTTATTTAGTTTTTTTCCATACATGAACTTTTCCACCTTAGCCAAGCGTAAAAAACATTTAATTCAAGTTGCTCGTAAAATTACTATTAAATCAATTCAGGAAAAACTTAAGCGTTCCAACTTTAAAATCTGAGACATTGCAGGTGAAGTTTCTGTGGAACGAGCCGTTTTAAACTCCCATCAGGCAGTTTGACCTTTTGATTATTTGACACGTCTGTGCAGTAAATGTAGACGACCTCTTCGTTTTGATCATCATCACAGTCACCAGCTTAGATGGAAAAGTCAGGGAATAAATAAAGACATCGCTCTCTGAATGCACTGACCCTAAGTGTAATTGACACCCTCTCATTTGATGGAATCAGTTTATGGATAATCCAGTTTGTCATACTTGGTAGATGTGAGCCTGACTGATGGCAGTGGTGAAGCCTTACAGGATCAAATTTAGGGGCGAGTGGAAAATGTTTGCCTGAAAGACTGAGTTACCATTTTATTTGTCACAGCTGCGGACATTGCCGGGCCACCCAGTGTGACGAGGAGAATATCACGTGCACAGGAAATGCTCCACTTCCTAACATTTAGCACAAAAAAGAAGGCCTTTGCCCAGATGTGTCTGAAAGCCTTACTACTTCCTGTTTAATAGATGATGAGCAGAATCATGAGAACATAAACCTACATGTTGCCAAATTGAACCCCTTGATAAACGGAGGCAGTGAAGTGACCATTTGAAGTGTAGAGCATGCATTGTCAGGAGTGATGTTTTCTTAGATTTCTAAATCACTTGAGTTTTTTAATAAATGTAAAAAAGTTGCTACACGGTTCACACACAGTAAACCAGCGTTCAACTGTTTCCTGTTCTGTGTCGTCAGGTTCAAAATACTGAGGACCACATTTTGTTTTGGTTTGTTAATTTTGACTGTGGTATGTTTAAATGGGAATGAAATAAAACTATGTGACTGCTTTATAGTTTTAGTGATAGTTGATTGACTCTTATCACTTTGCTTTGGTTGATCATTTCTTGATACTAAAATGTCTGAAACAGAAAAACTAAAAATTGTAAGGAAACCTCTCTTTCTTTAAACATCACTGTGTTTGATCGCAAAGACAAGACAATGAGCTTAATGGGTTCACTTCCTCTTTGCTGCAGGAAAACCACAGACATTCACATCTAATTGTATTTATATGGATGAAGAGTAGCTGCTCTGTGCGGCGCCATCTTCTAAAAGCCAACGCTTGAGTGACGGAAACAGGAAACTTGTTTGTATGATAAGATGTTTATTTAATAATTTAACAGTGTTTCCTCTCTCGGCCGGAGACGACAATTCAAGCATCATCCATTAAGTGTCAACAGAATATATTTACACTTTTACAAACATCTGTAAAACCCATTGTCAGGTTTACATCAGAGCAATCAGTCTCTCCCTCTTATGTATGTTCATATGGAGAGAACCACCAAAGAAGAGCTTCACTTTAAATTCTAAACATCAGGACTGAACTCTGCTGTCAACAGAACGACTTCATATACTTCAAATCTTAATTGATTCGAGGTTTCTGATGCATTTACTTGTTTTCTTGCAGTGCAGCACATGAACTTGTCAGTACACTTTTATAATCTCCGTACGATCATCGACAGTCTATGTGCACATGGACATAAATACATCTCACTCAGGGCCATGCCTCTGTCACAGGGCTTTAAATGTGGCTACTGCAAAGCTCTGATTGGTTATAATACACAGAGTGGGTTCACAGGTCGATGGTTCCCCTCAGGTCACATCATGTCATGCCGTTTGGGTAAAGAAAAAGCCAGGCACCATAGCATTTTCAAAATAAAAGCATAAATTACAGATTAAAGGTACCGTATGTTAACAGAGTTGTTGGACATTTTGGGAAAATGTGCTTGTATTCGTTTTTATTGCCACAATTTAGATGATTAAACTCTTGTGAAGACATCGCAAGGATTATTTTATATTTAATTTCTGCCAATCGATCCCTTTCCCCGTGAATCTTACACACTAGAGCTTCTAATGATGCCCCTTGCAAGGTTTTGTTATCTTTGCACAGACTAGGCTACCTGTTCCCTCTGTTTCTAGTCTTTATGCTGAGCTAGGCTAATTGAGGTCTGGCTCCAGCTACAGACACAAGAGTGGTATCAATATTCTTATCAAACTCAAAAAAAGCAAATAAGCAGAATTTCCCAATTTGTCTGACAACTCTTTAAGTAACTCAACACCCCCAGGATCCCGAAACATGGAGGCACAAAGGACGGCTGAAAAATCCTGCATGGTGAGTAAACAGCCCTGCTACAAACACCACTCAGCTGATCCTTAGTATGAGATATAGTCACATTGTCACTGCAGTCACATTAATAGGGATGCATGTAAATCTCATGATACAATTCCTACACAGCAGCAGTTGGAAGGACGTGGGATATAAATGTTTGTGCGACGCTGCTGTGGGATATTACAGCCAGGTACGATAGCTACCATTATGCAGTTATATTATGATATGTATCCAATCAACAGCAAAGTGTGATTTTCAAAACGTCATTCAATGAGGCAGCCTCAGATGTCATGCGAACACAAACATCCGTCTTGTAGCTTGTATTGCCATTTTCCATGTTCTATTATTAATGCTCAAAGCTTCTTCACTTACACACGTCACAGTGTCATGAGATTTAAAAGAAAGGATGTTATTGCACTCTTGCAGAAAACTCTAGGGATGAAGAGGGAATCAAGGATCCTAATAAACCCACAAAGATGACGAGCTATGGATTGGTATTTCCAACGTGCAACAGAATAATACGAGATTGCAAATGCAGGATATACAAATCTTAAGCAGCCAAATAGTCCAGTGTGATGTCTCTGACGCTTGAGAGACAGTTTGGCCTCCTGAGTCACGAGATAAATAAAACGGTGCAGTTCACAAAGGACGTCCCTCCGACGTGAAAATGACGCCGCAGGTTGCTTTGGTGTGATTTGTCACGAGTGCAAGCCTCGCGTAGAAGCATGCACTCGTCCGTCATGAAATAATAGACGAGCCGCTTCTGGATCAAAACACGTGTCATGCTCATATCTTGAGGTTAATATTCAAGCTGCCAAAGTAAAAGTAAAAGAAAGACCCTGGTGCTGGGTGAAACCGTCACACCAGGGACGAGCCTTTCAGCGCTACATTAGTGGGATTATTACTTGTGGAAATACACCTCGTTAGCTTCGTGTATATAAGAACGCTTTGAGCATGCAGACAATGGAATGTGAGTGTAGGATGTTTACAGTGAGTGTCTTAGTAACTTAAGGAAATGTACGTTAGGAAAGCTTCTGTGATGTGACAGCTGCAGTATATAATGCACAGTTTGATAGATGGTAACATGCCCTCTGTCAATATGAGTCCTCAAATTATTTTCAAATTATGTTTTTACTTCCTCCCTGAAATACTAATTATTTTTCCTGCTGAGAGTTAAGTATCAGTACCAGTCTCATGTGTAATTACTAAATATGAGACCACAGCCCAGAGCGGCAGGATTAAGGTGCTTTTCCTTATTTGTCAACAGGGTGACGCAAAAAGAACTGAAGTGATTTGCACCAAACCTGGTGGAAGGATGAGGCAAAGACCAGGAGAGACTCCCAGGCTCCAGAGTGGATCCGGTTAAAGGTTTGGATGCAGAATGTTTTTAATCACGGGCATTTCTCAAATAACAAACCCTCTCTATTCTCAGCAAGAAGACAAATGAAAGTATTTACCAAAATGTAGAATAATTCCTTTTAGTCATTCCCCTTCCTTCACATCTGCTGTCTTAGCCCATGAGTTCTGTTGTTGACTAAATAGTTTCCAAAACATAAAATAAAGCTAATGTAATTTTTGCTTTGTTTTAAGTCTCTGGACGAGGATCATTCAGGGGAAACTGGATGCAGGCGTCTGTTAGCTTGTCTCCACCAGCCACAGTGAGGCTGCAGCGTGGCCCACGGACAGATAGCACCTCCTCTGATTTTAGAACAGCTGAGCGAGCACGGCTTCACAAACTGAAGGAAACATAGATTTAGAATCTATTTAAAATCTAAACTTAATCGGACTGATTTTAAAATCGGAGGAGTTGCCAACTGAAACGCACCATGCTCCACAGCCAGCAGGAGCCAGGCTGAACCGAACTAGTGGAGACCAGACATATTATTCATCCTTCTTGGCGACGGCGCTCTGGTGCCCCTCCTGTGGTGAAACCCTCTGCAGTACCAACAGACCAGAGAAGGTAAGAGAGATCCCAACCCACCACAGAGTTATCTGGGCTTCACCAAAGATCAGCTGGCCGAGGAAAGCCTGCGGAGGAGAAAGTCGGAGGTAAAATACTTAGCTTAGTGTACAAGTAGTAAATAAGAGGACTTGAGAGGCTGCTACTTACGGAAGATATGAAGTTGGAGGCCGTGGTGGTCACAGTGGTTTGGGTGGAGGAGGAGGAGTACCTGAGAGCTTTGGCAAGGAAGGTCCACATCACAGCGTTACAGGTGAACAGGAGTCCGCCACACAGCAGCCTCAGAGGGATGTGGAGCTGGAAAATACAAACACCCGCTCATACAAAGGTTTTCTGTGTGTTCATTATTTGACACAAATTGATAAAACACGTTTCCAGTTAAAGGTTCGATGGTATAGAAAAGTAAAGCCAATGCAGGAGTGCCTGAAACCAGTAATCCCTCGAATTACCAGCAGAGGGCAACTCCAGTAGTTACACGAAAAAAGTTTGTTTCTACTTTATTGTCTCAAACTCTCGTTTCAAGTCTTCTTCAATTCAGCACGATGTTCATTTTGAAAATCACGGTCTCATTTAGAGTCAAACAGACGAGGAAGTGCTGTACGCGTCGGAGCGTGGATACCGTGTGATTAACAGCTAGCACTGTCCAATGGCTGCAGGTTGCAGCTCCTGCTTGATGGTGCGGGACAGACAAATGACAAACTCAAAGACAGAGGGTTGCCACTCGGTTGAAAAAGCAAAGTCGCTTGGTTTGTCCCTTCTGGGCTGCTCTAGAAACATGGCTGCCTCCACGGAAGAGGACACTGGATATAAACGTCCATTCTAGGACAACAAAACCATGATTCCCACAGTTTCACGTGATAATTACAATTTAAAAACATCCCTTTTCAAGCCAAGGACACAAGGACGACACTTAAATTGTGCAAATTTCTAAATTACTTGCGAAAAATCTAATTGTGTTGATAGAAACTGTGCAGAGTGTGAACCTGGGGGGTTGGACGCAGGCAGTTATTTAGTTCTCCTGCAGATTAGAGGTCACTGTTTGACGTCTCCAGTGTTAATGCTTCAGACCGCTGCCTGCGGAGGGTTGTGACATCACTGTGTGCAGAAAGCATGAAGGTCGTTGAGGAAACGTGACCCCCGTCACCAGCTCCAACACTGTGACCAAGTAACGCGATAACACACACATCACACTGCAATGTCATTCAGCACGAGGACACGGCAGCTGCAGCATGGGGTCTCCTGCATGACGACTGGTGCTGATGCTGAGGGAGTCAGGGAGGAGATGGAGAGGAGAGGAGGGGGAGAGGAGAGGAGGGGGAGAAGAAATGGAAAGGATATGGAGAGTAAAGGAAGGAAAGGAGAGGAGTAAGGGAGGAGGTGGAGAGTATAGGTAAGGAGAGGAGAGTAGGTGGAGAGTAAAGGAGAGTAGAGGAGGGGAAGAGGAGTCAGACAGGAGGTGGAGAGGAGATGGAGTCAGGGAGGAGGTAGAGAGAGGAGTCAGAGAGGAGGTTGAGAGGAGAAGAGGTGGAGAGAATAGGAGGTGAAGAGGAGTCAAGGAGGAGGTGGAAAGGAGAGGAGATGGAGTCAGGGAGGAGGTGGAGAGGAGAGGCAGGGATCACCAGCACCTCCCGTCCCAACTTCCTCCAGGAGAACCCCCCCCCCCCCCCCCCCCCCCCCCCCCCCCCCCCCCCTTCTCTCGGACACATGCTGCATTATTCACATCACATCACATCCATCCATCCTCATCGCGTGAATAATTCACTGTAACCGCGGCGGTGCCTCCTCACCCGGTCACAGGTGGTGGTCTCGTCCGCTTGTCTGAATCTCCGCTGCTCTCCCCACGTCCGGAGTCCGGTTTCACACACTCCCTTCAGGTAGTCCGCTCCCAGGGACAGTTTGGCCGAGGACGACGCCACGGCCCCGAGGAAACCCGCCAGCAGTGCATAGAAAACTCCCGGGAACATGACGAGGATGATGGCGGCGGCCGAGGCTCATTATTCTCGAACAAACCTCCACATCTCTGCCGCTGGTCCGGATCGAGCTGCCCGCATCGTGCTGCGTGTGAGTCCGTGTGTGGGTCCGTGTGTCACCGAGCACGCTGTCCTGCACTTTCTACCCACAACCGTCCGGTGGCGATCACACAACACATGTTCAACCCGGAGCAGTGCAGTGGTTGGACCGAACCCCCCCCCGTAGCATTCTGGGAATTGTAGTTACAACCTTAGATTAAACTTAAATTACTTAGTAACTGCAACTTATTATTATTATTAATATTATTCATAACAACCGAAATATAATAATAACAACAATAATAATAATAACACTTTTTAATGACATATTTATTTTTATAACAGTACTGATAATACTTATATTTATTTATTTGTTAAATTAAAATACTACTTGTGCTACTACAGCTGCTCCTACTACTACTAATTATAATAGGAATACATTTTAATTGTGTGTTCATTATTATAATTGTATATTACTTATGTTATGAATAAAACAAAGTCAATAATTAATAGGCCTAATGCTCAAATAAAACATGTAATAATACTTAGATATACTGATTTAATTAATAGATATATAAAAATATAAATATCATTGGTACAGTATTATTGTTTTATATTTGTCGATTATCATGATTATTACTTTTAAGATACATTAATATGAATTGTTCGCCATGGGACTTTGACTCATAATGTTAGTATTTTTGTAGTATTATATATTATATATTAATATATTTAGAATATTTACAATGCAGTCACCTACTCTGGGAATTGTAGTTCAATAATTTCATAACCATGGCTAAATAAAAAATAACTTTGATGCAGTAATTATGTGTCTCCAAACATGCTGGAATCATACTTTTCATACTGACACTATAATAAAAAGAATAATAATTATCTTTATTATTCTTATAATTAAAAGAGGGAGTGCAGGTATTCAAACATAGCCTCCGGTTCCTCTGTGTCGTGATTCCGGTGGTAGAAGAGGGCAATCAGTGCTAATGTAATGTCCTTGACTGTAGGAATAACTCTATTTATCCAAACGGCTTGAATCTCAGGGACAGACCTCTGTTCCCTCCAGCATACTGATGAGCTGCATTATAAAGAATCATTATAGCTCACAACGTATAAAGGGAATGCGTGGGAGGTGAGCGTATAGGCAGTAGATGGTTGCACATGTACATCCACACATGATCCTCATTCTCTCTCCTCTGTGCCCTTTACAGAGAGACGAGCTCGTCAGAGAGGACGAACCAGAATATGACTGAATTATTCTTCTCATTAGAGAAGTGAAAGGAGCCATTGTCATGAATGCATGGGCCTGTAGTGGCTGTATTAATCAGAGCGTCACGATAAAGAGTCATCATCTCTTCATCAGACTCGGCAACTGAACATTTGTTCTGGAAATAATAGGATTGCATGTTATTCATTAATGTAATGTTTGCATTATAATGATAATGGGCTGGTGTCACATACCACAACATCTATTGCTTATGATACTGTTATTTGAAATTCTGAAGATAGGCCTTTACACAAAACTGAAGGGAATATATAAATACAAAACAAGCATATGATACACAATTACCATTAAATCAATGGCAAACAAGAATGGCTCATACCTCCGCCAAGGTCGAACAATCCTACTAACAATTGTTTAGTTCTTACAGTAGGACTATATTTATAAAAGAAGGGGTCTGAAAACCTAAATTATTTATTTATCAAAAAACATTGTTAAAAATAGTGAAACCCTGTATCCGCCCCGACATCCGCAAATTCACAAAAGAAACAGGTGAAAACACGAATTAAAAAACTTTACATTCCAAATTTGGGTTCATTAAAAGTTCTCTGCAATGAAAAAAGTTGACAAAGGGAAAATAATCTATATTAGGAGACAGCTGCACAACATCAGGGTCCTGAATTAAAAACAGACGGCAGAATAGAATTCAACCAATGTTATTTTTAGAACTATTGAGAACTGCGCCTTTCCTTCTGTGCCTTCTGTCTTCTGAAAGTCTACCTGGCTCTATTTCAGTGAGGAGGATAGACCATCTAAATGCTCCTGGGAAAAATACATCACACGCTGAAGATGAGCTCATCATTTTCTCCATCAGACTAAATGTAACCAATTTAGTTTTCTTGCCCAGCAGATGTCTCCAGTGTGCTTTTGTAGGGAGACCCCTCCACATTTACCATAACTTGCTGTACATGTGTAAATTTGAGATTGTCACTGGTGAACATTTTGACCATTGTAATCAATAAAATTCCAATTAGTTCATAAAGTGGCGGTTATGGCGTCAGTGCTGCTTTTAATATACCTACATAAATAAATGTGTCAGATTAATATGAGGTCACTTTGACCTTCGGAATCTAATCAGTCCATCTTTGAGTGACAGATCATCAAAATTTGAAGAAATTCTGTAAAGGCGACTTGAGACTTAAAGTTCAAGAGGCCAAAAAAAATGTCTGTGAGGCCACTGTGAGCTTGACCTTTGACCTCTGACCACCCAGATCTAATCAGTTAATTGATGAGTCTAACTAATCGTTTGAGCCAAATTTTAAAATGTTCCCTCGAGGTGTTCCTGAGATATCGCCTTCACAAGGCAAAACATTTGTTTTGTGAAGTCACAACGACCTTGACCCCCAAAATCAAATTATTTCATCCTTGAGTCCAACTGAAGGTTTGTTACAAATTTGAAGAGATTCCCTCGAAGCTTTCTCAACATATTGCGTTCACAAAAACGGGATGAACGGATGGACAACCAGAGAAAAATAATGCCACCGGCCACTAACTGTCCCCCAGTGTGGAGGTGTAATAGAACACTGTAGAGCCAAATGCTTCTGTGTGTGTGTTTTCCTGTTGTTTGTGAAAAAAGGATATTAGAGCTGTTGTGACGGAGCAGAGAGTCAGAGGTTGTTGTCTCTGTTACAGTGTCCTCTGTTCTGATCTCTGTGAAACAAGCTTCAGGGGGGCGACCGCCCTCAGTCCGTCACACAGTCATCGTTCTGTCGGCTTCGACTGAAAAGTCTGAAATCAAACTGAGCCATTAGCTGTTGTTGCCAGAAGCTCCTCTGACAAACACAAGTGTCAGGATAGAGCACTAATTGGGATCCTCGTGCTGCTGCTCAATAGAGCGATAATTGAGCCCACAGAGCTTCAGTGACACTTTTACAGAAGGTCTGTCATTGTCCTTCTGTGTCTCTGTCCACATTTGTGCTTTTGGAGCAGTAAGGTGAATTAATTGGGGAAAAAGATCTAAGGTTCATTAGTGTAGGAACTTTTACTATGACCTTTAAGTCAGCTACTTAACGAAAAAAGAAAAATTCAGTGGTTTTAAAATGGACCTCTTATATTTGCAGGGTTTTTCTTTCCATCCATTTACCTAATTATATCTCGACCTGTTCACTTCATCTTGAGATGCATCGAGACTTAGTTCACCACATTTTCTTTGAAAATCACTCAACTAATTTCCATAGCATGGAGCAGCTCACGTTGGAGAGGCTAGAGAGGATGTTCAAGGACAATAATTACCTTATCGGTACAAACCTTTTTTTGTCAAACTGCAATAATCAGGCTTCTTTTGCTAAATTGAGTGTCTAAAACATAAGATAACTTGAATACAATGTTCTTTATCGGTTTATGGACGTACTGGTTCTAATTCTTCCCTCTTTCTTTCAGGTGTAAAGATACTCTGACCTTCAGGGAGATTCCTGAAAACTGAGGGTTCCCAACACAACAACTCAAAAACTGTAAGAATATACAGCCTTCATATTCATCTCTGTTCATCACTGAGCTTCATTCTGTAGCTGATCCAATTAATAGTCATGGCGTCATCTTCCAGCTCTGCATGGAAAGAGGCAGCACACAGAGAGGTACGGTCAAATGTTCAATTACAGGCCAGACACACGTCCTTGAACTATAAAATCTCTCGCTCCTGCTATCAGCTACACACACACACACACACACACACACACACACTGCTGACCTTGTCAACATGCAGGGTCAATAGCCCCCCTCCAGTCCATTAAGTAGTTATTGGCGAGGTTGCTGCTCTTTGTCAGTAATGCAGGCTGTTGTGCAAACAGATCCAAGTTTTTGGCAAGTCAAGCATCCCCACACGTCGCTTATTCTTCCCACCGAACTGAGGCAGAAATGAAATCAGCCGAAACACAGTTATACCCCAGGTCAAATCAAAGTAAGAGCCCAGAGAGAAAGTTAAGCTTGTTTCGGCTTCTTCTCCAGACAGTTCGTGGAGCCATGTTGGCGGGCTGCAGAGTTCACATCGAGCAGATAGAATGTTCCCAAAACAAACAGACTCCAGATAACGTCCGTTCCTGCTGTTGCCAGGAACAATTAGAGCAGGTGAGATGCTAATCTGATCCAGCTGTTCTTTGGTAATGCAGCATAAGCAGAACGCTGAAACAATCCAAGGTCGGCCGTAGCTGTCTGCATGTTATTGTTGAGTTTTGTTTTGGACTCTCGGAAACTAGAGGACGTGGATTATGTTTATTTCTACTTAATGGGATGGACAGCAGCAGTTTGCAGATATCTGTCAGGGCCAAGGACAGCGAAGCTCACACGGCCAAACACTGAAGAGACTTCTGATGAAATACACCCATCCTTATTCAAATTCTGACAGCCTGCTCTAATATGAACCTCCGCTACCAGGAGTTTCCAATAACCTTTGAAAATGTGCACCGACTGCACAACGATCGTCTTTCTGACAAACAGTATCAACAATTAAAACTCACTGTCCTGCCACTCACAGCGGATGTGCTGGAAATGCCAGGATCCATTAAAAACTGTGAAATATCATGTTGTGGATGCATTGGAAGTAAGAGATGGAGATGTGTGCTGAGGGAGAACTTTTTCACACAACTTTATCTTTAACGCTGAGTCTCTAGCTTTTTAGCTTTGTGATCAATCATCAATTATTTTCTTAAAGGCTGTCAGACGTCTAAATGTCAAACATGCTGGACAGCGGCTCGCTTTGATCAAGTAAAGTTTCGCTTGCTTTAAGTTTCGCTTGCTTTAAGTTTCGCTGCGGCGACATGCTGACATATTCTGAAACAAACTTCTTCTCAATGCTACTTCTTGTGGGCTGCACACGCAGACGGTTATGCACACATCACTGTGGATCGTAAACTAGTTAGCCGAGCATGCTAATGTTGACTGCTTGCTTTAGAGCAGATAAACTCACAGTTTAATCATTGGCTGCATATGTTTTATACATTTGCAATCAAACTATACATTGACTATGTGAAGGAAGGGTTTACCAAATGCTAATTTACTTTTTGTTGAAAAATGGACCTGATAAATTTAAATCTGATGACGAAGACCTCTGAGTGAAACTGCCATGACCGCTCATGGTGAAATGCAGCTGACCTTTGCTTGACTCTCAAGCACTTAACAAACCACTAACTCTCGGTTGCACAGGGATTTTTTTCTCCCTTGTATTGATCTTTGCTTTGTGGCTGCCTCAGCTGACAAGCAGCAGGAATCCAGCCGTGCTCTTCTAAGTGTCCTTTGGATATTCACGCCTTCGATTTGCTCAGCGCAAGATGAGGTGAGGATATTCAGCTGCTGCATTCGACTTCACCACTAGATGTCACTAAACTCTACGCCCTGGACCTTTAACGTGTCCTTTTCGTTCCGATTGTCAGGGTCATTTTGTTTGTTAGTGTGTAATAATAATAATATAAATGTGTAACATTTATATATCACAAAGACAAATGTATAGCCTGTATTGACAAATCGTGTCATTGGGCTTAACAAGACTAACATGTCCTAAACCCTCAACAAGAGTAAAGAAAAACTACTAAAAACAGGTAACAGGTAAAACAAACGTGAGGGATCCCTCTCCCAGGACGGACAGAAGTGCAACTGATTACAAGAAACTGATTTTAGCACAATGGAAAAGTGTGTCAAGTCTTTATTCACAAGAAATTGTCTGATAGAGATGAAGGGAGCGGGAATGATAATTGAAATGGAGTTATTGTCAGTAATGGTAGAATATGTGTGTTGGCACTTTGTTTATGAAGCAGTCTTCATCTGATCATGATGATGTCTCTTCTGGTGTGATGATCATGGACTGTCAATAAAGAGGTGATGATGTGTCCATCAGGACCGTAGCATCCGGGGGTGGGTCCACAGTGGAGTGGGCGTGTCTGCGCTTGCTACCAGGAAAACGCTGGAGGAGAACCGGACACACACACACACACTGCAGAGGAGCGAGCGGGACACCAGGAGGAACATGTCCGCCTCCTCACGCACCGAGGGACGGTCACACCACCGGAGCAGCGCGGTCAAAGCTCGCCCTCCTCCTCTGCTGTAGCTGAGCAGACACACACCGCCTGGTTCCACACTTATGTTCTGAAGGCTTCTCTGCTGCTGCTGGTCCTTCCTCCTCCTCCTCTTCCTCCTTCCTCCTCCTCCTCCTCCTCCTCCTCCTGCTGCTGCTGCTGTTCACCGTCCCGTCGCCAGGATGGACAAGTCTCTCTGCAGTCCGCATCACGGGACCAACAAAACAAACTCTCCCTCCACGGACCGGGGGAGCTCAGCGAGGAAGCCCGGCGGCCGGACCGGGACGCACAGCCCCGGCTCCAGCTCCGGCTCCGGCTCCGGCTCTGGCTCCGGCTCCGGCTCTGGCTCCCTGGGCGGCCCGGCCGGAGCAGGAGGCAGCCGGGAAACGGTGCTGGGGAACAGTATGAATGTGCAGCAGAGGAGGAGGCAGCTGGAGGGAGTGTTGAGCAAATACACCAACCTGATCCAAGGCTGGCAGAACAGGTAAGAGCATGGATGGAGTTCAGGTGGAGGGAGGAGGTGTGGGGAGGCTTCATGTGTCTGTGGCTTCATGTTGTTTTGGCTCCGTCCACGTTGCACTTTTACCTCCACGTCACTGTGTGTGTGTGTGTGTGTGTGTGTGTGTGTGTGTGTGTGTGTGTGTGTGTGTGTGTGGGTGTGTGTGTTGTCCACCCACACACACAGGCCTAATGGTGAACTGTTATACCGATAACTATCACTAATACCTTCATATATGAAGTATTTACAAGTGAGTAAAGTCTAACTTCATTCTACAGTGATAATTAACTTTACTTCTTTGATTAAAAACTATTAGATATCAATTCGTTTCAACTTTTTAACATGTAGATATTTGCTGCTTGTCTTTGGCATCAATAACAGTAATAGAAGAATATCTATTTGGAAAAATGAGATTTTCACTATTTGGACAATTCATAGACAGTGAGAATATTAAAGACAGACTAACTGATAATGAAAGTAATCACCAGTTGCAGTAGTTGTATTGGATTGCATTTTCTCATATTAAGTTGCCTCATGTATGTATAGTGTAAAATGTGTTTATTCATTCCTATTGATTTATTAGATGATTATAAGTCTCTGATCTAAACATCATGTCTTATTGACGCCAATAGCATGAATATTAATTTAAAAGTAGTCATTGACATTTCTCCTTATGGCAGAATTATTTGTAACAATGGAGAAACATCACCATCCATGTGGAGTCGTGTTTCTGGCCACCTGATGAGTGTAAGTCCAACACTGACCCTCTCTTAAGTCTGTGTTTGCTTTCTCTGGCTCTTTAGCCGCTGAACACTTGAGTATGTTCACCATCTAATCCCTTGACTGTGTGTGTGTGTCTGCTGTTTGCTGCTGAGCAGGTAAAGCACAGTGGGGTTTTTAGAGCCTCTCCTCTGAAGACAGGTGCCTGCTGCGGCTGAAAATCACTCAGTAAGAGCAGCGAGTGTGAACCAGAACAGAGAAACTATGAGTCGGGAGTACAAAGGAGCTGCAGACGGCTTTCACATCATCAAACTGTTTTTAACTTCAGTGTTTCAACTTTAAAAATACAGATCATGGTCGCTTTAAGGGATGTTTATGTCCTGTATTTATTTAAAAAGATATGATGTCTCAATCATTTTCATCGAAAATGAATTGTAAGTAGAGCTGAACAAAGTCTGTATGTCGGAATGTGTATGAGTGTAAGTGTCTGAGGCTAACTGATTAATTGACTAACTACTGCAGATTGAGTTTTGATATTCATAAAGATAGAACTTATTCAAGTGCTGTTGCATTGGATTGGTCAGGTGTACCTAATAATATGGTAACATTAAAACATATAGATCTGTTCACTCTGCTGTGTGCTTCCTGTGTTCCTGTTGTTGATAATATGACATATTGGTTTATTTAGCTTCTTCAGACACGTTTCCTGTGGTTGTGTAATATTCTGTTGCTCATGAAGAACAGAATATCTTGGTGCTTTGTTGTGCGACTGAATGTCATGTAGCATTTATGGGTTTCCTCCCTGATTTACTCAACTCCCACGCCGGAAACCAAGTTTTTATGAGAGGCTGTGAGTGAGCTTTTAATTGGAAAACATCACTGCGGCCTGCACTTGTTGCTGTGAGCAACACATGAAACATCTGGCTGCTGTTCAGGATTTTATTGTAATTGAAAGCCTTTTCTTGCAAATTTCCTGTGCACTGCTGAACACCTGTACAGTTGATGCAGAATGCAGGATTTCTGCTCTGCATCTGTATTATTTGTGAATGGAACATCTTCTTCTTCTTTTTACCCGTATGCACACAAAAATAGCTGATGTACGGTGCTTTGCTGTAGTGGTGCTGCGGAGGAGACGGAAGCAGAGGCTGTATATGATTCGGGCTGGAAGCCAGTGAGTGTGAGAGGTGTGGGGATATATACGGAGGTGGAGGTGGAGAGAACGAACGGCTGCTCCCTGCTCTCCTATTAAACTGACAGATAGATGATGCACTGAACTGGATCACGATCTACACCCCCTGGGATACCTGGGTAAAAAAATATGTTCTTTTGAAAGAGGAAACAGCGAGGTGGCGTTGATCAAAAGAAAATTATGTCTGCGATGTTCATGTGGGATTTGTCGTCTGTTGATTGAACACACACGCAGCATGTGTGTAAACACACATGCTGTGCAGGCTGTTTTCTGCAGGGTTAGGATACTTCCTTTGAGATGTTGCCTTGTTCTGTTTCAGTGTCACAGAGCCTGAAGGTAAAGGTCTCACTTTCAAGGAATGATTTCTTTCAGTTCATTGACCAGAGCCTCGGCCCGGAGCTCCGCTAACTGCGGACATACAGATTGTGAGCATCGACCAAAGGATCCTGAATATGTAGCCTGAAGCTGAAAATGCTATCAGATCAAATGTTTGCACGAACCCTGATTTACTGCAGTACTAACCCACTACGACTGCTCCTGGTTAGAACTATGATGACTTGTACTTGTGAAGATTAATGATTATAACCGAGACTCTTGTTATCTCATCAGGAAGCAGTTTTGATCTCTCAAAGAGCAGCACACAATGACGGAGCAATCACGGTGTCATTTGAATGCAAATTTATGAAATGAAATTGACTTAGTTTGGTCTTTAGAAGGAAGGAAACGCTTCTTATTCATATTTTGTTGAAAGCTGCTGTTCCAAACATCCAATGCAAGTGTTGTTTACGTGTATCTGAATTGAAGATGAGTTAATTCCAGTGTGGGAATTGAAATGACTCCCGGGGGAATGTTATTATTATGTTCTATAAAGCCATTATGTCATTCGCTGAAAGGAGCTGTAATTTGCAAAAGCAGAGATGTCCTCGAGATTCTAATCAGCAGCTTGAAATATGGTGATGGCCACAAATAAATGGCCCACGATGAATTCACTTTTGTCTTTGATCACACTGTTTTCAGAACTTGCCTCCAGACAAATGTCAGAGATATTGGGTCTGGACATTTTCTGGACTTTCACAAATGAAGGACACAGCAGGAGATTGTCCAAGTTCGAAAAAAACCCCAAAACGAAACATTCAGGCGAGGGGTGGTGTCTGGGTGGAGCATGCAGGACATGACCTATAAATTATTTTGCAATAATCACATGTTTTTGTTACAGCACATTGAAGATTGTGGGAGAAGAAGCTAATGACTCAGCAATAATTTTTGCATTTACAACAATATACGAGAACTGTATCTGCAAAAATACATTTCAGGAAAATGTCTGGACTTCAGTGCATCCTCGTCGGATGACTTCGGTTCTCAGAAGCCTTTAAATAAAGAAACGTTTGAAGCAGGAGAGACTGCAGAGGTGCTGGAGTAATAGCAGTCGTCAGTCACGTTCTCAGTATTCGTCACGTGGAGGGACTCGTAGTGTGTGTGTTTGGCTGGAGGTGTCGTGGTGGGCAGCGGACCTGAGTGGAGCTAATTCTGCCACTGTGTGGGTGGCCATGTGTCAGTGTGAAGTGCTGCAAGGTGCCGTGTGTGTGTGTGTGTGTCAGAGAAAATGTGGGAGATAGCTGTTTTTAGTTAGCACGTTCAGACTCAGCCTGTGAAGACAGATGTATAAAGACTTATTAAATCAATTGGAACAGAAAGGCTGCATCACAAACTGGAGGTGTGGTGTTTCCTATACAGTTAGGATGCAGATAGGCTGCTCCCCAAAGCTGCTTTTCAATTGCTTTGTAGGAAATGTAGGATCCAGCATTTTTGGAGCTTGACCCAAGAATAGATGATAATGAAAAAATCCCCTCGGTTCTATTAGACTGGGACAGAGTCACATATGAAATGCAACAAAGCTTCTGCAGCCAGAAATCCCCCACCACACACCCACATTAAGGATACGGGGTATATCTACAGTAGATAAATAAAAGAAATACAATAATAAACTTAACTTTTTCGCATTGTTTTTCTGTAAGATAACACTTTTCATATAGTGACCAACAGAGACCCAGACACAATATGTGCGTGAAAGTCATATCGGACAGTTTTAATTGACCAGCTTACAAATCTGTCGGGCTGAGACCAGATTTATTTTCAAACTGATCAAACAAATGTAGGAGATATTCCTCTGCTTTCAGGTTTTCATCTATTTATCCCGAGGATTGTTTGTGGATCGGTGTAGTCCAACATTTACAGGCAGATCACAGAATCATGCAGAGCGCTCCCTCTGTCTCCTCTTTAGATATCACGTTGTACAAATTGAGGCTGTAAGTAATACTACACGTGGTTATTCTACATTTAAATAGTCTTAAGTGATCAGCGGGGTGGGGAGTATAGGATTGTGAAGGATGAATCATCTCTTTGCAGATGTGCTCGGTGGAAAACTGCACTGCTGCGGATCTCTGATCAAAGCTGTGAGTTCCGATAATGTGGCTCTGCTGTTTGTTTCTGTGGTAGAGAAGAGGAGGAGGAGGACGATTTGGATTCATGATTTCTTTTCTTATGCCGGTAGCTTCAAAACAACAGGTGTTGTAGAAGTTGACAGTCAAGGTTCACTTTCTCATTTGTTCTGGAGCTTTTGATCCTGTGTCTTTATTGGCAGATTGTGTTTTCTGTACATGTTTACAACTCAGTGTGGTGCAGCTAAAAGCTCCAGAACGAGCATGGATCGTGTTTTCAGCTGATGTTTCTAATGTCAGGAGTCACCCGTCAAACAAACCTTTTACACCAGCTCAAAATCATCCTGTGTTTGAGCTGTGATCAATATTCTTGATGTTATCTTTTAGAAAAATTTCCATTTTCTGGAGTTTGTGGCTGTGTTTGCTCAAAAAGTGTTTCTTTGCCCCACATTGCTTAAATACCATCTAATGCTGCTTTAACATTTTCTTGTGATTACATGTGTGATAGTAAAACGTTTACCTCTTTGACACTGCAGTGCAACACATTTGACTCCAGGACGAGTTCCAGCCACATCTCCTGCCAATATCCGCTGTGATTCACAACTTTCCTCTTGATCCTCTGAGCAATTTTTGGAGAATTAACTGCCAAAAGAGCAGCGAGGAGACATCACAACAAATCCTGCTGACGAGCGGTTTCCTGCAGAATCCGTGTTATTGCCATTAGGAAATGGCAGTGTCTCTGTGTATGAGGGCGAATGTGCTCGACTAAGCTCTTTGTTACAGAGTCATTATTGTTCTGGTGTGTGTTTATTTGAATGATATCAGCAAAAATGTTCAGTAGTAGAAAGCTCTCTGTTGTTTCAGATGTCTTGAGTGGATGAGTGATGTCAGAGCTGCGAGAGAGGGATTAGAAGAGCCTCTATATATAGATTTGAATTTTCTTTGCCAGAAAAGGTTAGAAAGTGTTCATGTCTTTATAAGTTTGCCTTAAAAAAATAATGATTGCCATTAATGCATGTCACAGTTCCATGTAGCCCCAGGTGGAAGTCTTCAGTAGTTTAGTTTTTTTTGTTGGTGTGGGCATGTTGGACTGAAAACAGCCCTGCATCATAAGGAGCTGCAGTGGTTATGCTGCGATGGATCAGGAGCCGATGAGAAAACATTGGACCCAGTAAGTCCAGTTTGAGAAAAGCAATCTTGAGGTTTTTCATACATCAAAACCTGAATCATTACTCTGGTGTTTTCTCATTTACACTGAACCAAACAAGCATATTGCTTCATTCTAACCCACCATGCAGACTCTCCTTTGCACATTCCCTTATCTCCCTCCCTTATTCTAGGACACGGTCGTGATATTAGATCTGTCCATCCATCCGTCATCTATACCGCTTATCCTTTGCGGGTCGTGAGGGGGAGGGAGTCGGTCCCAGCTGACAGTGGGGCGAGAAATAATGACAAACAATCTTAATCTAACCTGAATGTAAAATGGTCTGTCTTCATTTAGCGCTTTTCTAGTCTCAAGTCACACAAACATTCATTTCACACACTCCCGGTACATTCACAATACAACCGTCAAGGGGCAATTAGTGGATTTTGACAAGACCCTACTAGCATGCGGACCGGTGGAGCTGGGAATCAACCCACTGACATTCTTTTTAGTGCATGACCCACTGCCTCCTGAGCTTCAGCCATCCCAACTGCCCCACATGTCTTTGGACAGCTGATGCTAAAGTGCTAAACACTGTACAACCGTGCCACCGATAGTATCAGATGATGCAGATTTGGGGCTCATCTGGTTGAGCGGCTGCCCCACATATAGAGGCTTGAGTTCTCCTGCAGTGGACACAGGTTAGATTCCGTCCCTCGTTGTGCCTGCTCTGTCTCCTTTCTACCCTGTCAAACATTGAGGCCCAAAAATATCTTTAAGATACACATACATGCTACACCGTCAGTTCAGTTCGACACCTTGACAATTTGAAACTAATTCACTGGAACTGATGTGAAATCGACTGCTCTTGGCGTAAGTGGTGTAACAAGCTCAGTGCCAAACTTCATTGTTCCATCAGTCCATCATTATATTTCATTTTCTCCAGTTTGCTGCACCTTCATGCTTCCAAAGGTTAAAAGTTCAGCCCGAGCTCAGAGTGTGCAGCGTCGCTGATCGGGTAATGTCAGCACTGTTATGACACGAGCGAATGTAAGGAGCAAGCTTTGTTATCCAGTTCCATCCATCATGTTAAAGGTCTGCATTATGGTTTAACTGGTGCCTGGAGGTGGGTCAACATAACTGCTGACGGAATAAGGGATAAAACATCATACGTAGAGCAGTGTGTGTGTTTCTGTGTGTGTATAAAAACTGACGCAGGCAGATTGTTCCCTGGTCGGCTGTGGTCGACATAAATCACCAGCTCTCCTGATAGAAGCGGGCAAGACTGTGAGCGGGGATCAATTTTCAGACAGCACCATTCACTGCTTCCTCTCCAGGGAACTCTAGAGGGTTCATGGGAAAATGCCTCCAGTAATAAGGATGCACACACACACACACACACACACACACACAC